CGATGCATCGTGGAGAGGAACAGCAGGAGCAGGAGGAGCAGCAGCAGGAGCAGCAGAAGGAGGAACAGCAGGAACAGCAGCAGGAGGAGGAAGCCCAAGAGAACGGTGCCGAGACAGCGCCGCGTGATGCTGCGGCGAGCGAGCGAGCGAGCGGCGTCGCTAGAGGCCGGTCTCCGCGTGCCGTGCGGCGGCGGTGACGGCGGCGGTGACGAGGGCCGCACCGTGCCGAGCCAAAGTCCCCTCTGCGCAGGAGTCGCTGCTCCTGCTGCTCCTGCTGATGATGGTGATGATGGTGGTGATGATGGAGATGATGATGGAGATGATGGTTGGTAATGATGGTGACGATGGTGGTGATGATGATGGTGATGATGATGACGATGGTGATGATGATGATGGTGATGATGATGACGATGGTGACGATGGTGGTGATGGTGATGATGATTGGTGATGGTGGTGATGATGATGATAATGGTGGTGATGATGGTGATAATGGTGATGAGGACGATGGTGGTGATGATGGTGGTGATGATGATGAACGCAAAGAAAAGCCGAGTCAAGTTTCGAGTTGGTCGTGTGTAACTCGAGAGAGAGCAGGACGAGTTAGATTTGCACGAGCGACCTGGGCCACCGAAGTGACAAAAACAAAACTCGAAATTAAATAAAGCAAAGCGAACACAAAGCACCCACAAGAGTGCACGTGAACCCACGGGCCAGAGATTTCAACCATCTCGGCCACCGTCCATCACAACGCCTGTCCCGCCAGTCTTTTGGTTCTGGGCACCAGGGTGGCGGCAGTGGCTGCCATTGCTCGCTCGCGACTCACAGCAAGAAGGGGCCTGGGTTTGATTTGCCAACTCGCGCGACTTGCTGCGTGGAGTTTGTACTTTCTATCTCTCTCTATCCCTCTGCCCCGTATGAGTTTCTCCTCCAGGTTCTCCGGGTTTCCTCCCGGAGCTAAGAAAACATTGCAGCCAGTATTGGGCCAAAACATTTCCTGAAAACGACTCAATTGGCATCACACAGAGCAGCAACATCGGCCCCTGTACTAGCGAACACCTGGCAGGACCCTCCTGAGCAAGGGAGTCTTGAGACTCGGTTGAGGCTTTCATGCGTCACTCTTGCAAAGGAAACTTCGTTCCTGGTCGCTTGAGAGTTCTCACGCTTGCGTACTGACTACGAGAGCTCCGTATCCACGACACGACGTCCAAAAGAAGCCAAACTTAAACAACGTTAGGAAAGGATCCAATCGACAAAAAACAAAAGCGGTAAATGTGAACCTGAATAATAAGAATAGGTTTGACCCTTTAAGTGTTTGAACATCTTAAAACCTCCTGTTTTATTGCCATAAAGAGTAAACACCTATTCTTATTTTTCATTCTTTGATACTGGCAAAAAAAGGTCCCATGATAAATGTGAATCTGCGCACACTTACAGTATTTCGAATATCACCGTCCAATATTGCGACTACTGCCCAGACGTGTACACACGTGTGCATGGCGCGTACTTGGGCCGGCAAGCCTGTGGTACCTGTCGTATCTGTGCTGCTGGTGGACTTGCTGGCATTTCTCTCCGCTCCAGACATCCGGTGCTATGACTGTCACCCCCACCACCGGCTCAGGAACCTGCCAGAAGCAGGGGCAGGGCGACAAACGCAGTAACGCAGGAGCCCGTAGCATGACCAGTTAAAATTGCTAGAAACTCTTACGAACAATTTTTTTTATTGTTACCAGATAAGGGCCCACTGAGCTATGTAGGTCTTTTTCAGAAGCGACCTGGCAATCACAAATGATAGCCCAATTAGGCGGTTTATCACGTGGAAATTTATAGCGGCCAAAAGCTCTAAACGCGTGAAATGGGGAGGGATAAACCAGGGACCCAGAGAAAAATCCACGCGATCACGGGGAGAATATTCCAACTCCAAATATACAGGTGTCAGGGTCAGGTTCGAGCCCACGACATCCTATATACCAGGCGAGGTAGTTAACATCTCCTAGCCACCGCAGATTACCGGCAAGGGAGAGAGCGGTCCCTACCATTTACCTTGCATAACTGCGTCTCCTTCCATTCGCTCATATGCAACTCCGTTGATCTACAGGAATGGCGTGAGACTTTGCCCAGCCTAGGAATTGTTCCCCCGACGTTGGGGGTGGGGGGGAGTACGAAGCCTTCTCGAGTGCAATCCCAAAAAATATGCCTGCCTGCCACCGGACGTCGGGAAAGCGCCAAGTGTCTCTCAATCACGAGGTCTGTGCACGACACACCTGTTCACACTCGCCTTTCCATAAAATAAAAAGGGGGAAACAATATACAGTAAAACCTTGGATTGCGAGTAACTTGGTCTGCGAGTGTTTTGCAAGACGAGCAAATATTTTTAGAATAAATATTAATTTGATAAACGAGCGAGGTCTTGTAATACGAGCAGTACGTGTACGCTTTGTCTGCCGAGCGTCACGTGATCACAACTGATGTACGAGTGCTTTGATATACGAGTGCTTTGGATTACAAACACGTTTCCGGAACGAATTATGCTCGCAATCCAAGGTTTTACTGTATAAGTTTCTTGGCTTATTATTCATGGTCTTATCTTAACGGAATTTATATATAGCGCCTTAACCAAGACGCTTTGCAAAGAATTAACAACGGTGCGTGTGAATGTAAATGTGGGAGACGAGGTGAATGAACTAGGTGAGAAGAAGCAATGGGGGCGAATCTGTGATGATGCGTGAATTCGGTGAAAGCGGAAATGATGACAGTAAATGATGATGAATGGATTGGATCAATGGAAAATGAGTGATAGCCATTTAATTTAATACTTAACATCTCTCACGCTATTCGTTGCGCGACAGTCAACTTTATGTTGCCCGCGATTTCGATTTACTTTGCTCGGTTGGCGCTAGCCGCTGAGGTCACGACGGGTTTCTATCTTCATCCCTGTTTGCTGCTCCGTGTCCCCCCCCCCCCCCTGTATCATTCCCGTTTCTGCCGTAACGCGCGCCGATGTACCCTTTATTGAGATGCGTTGAGTGGCACACAGAATAAAGACCGACCGACTGACCGAGCGATCGATCACCGTACCTTTCTCTTTATCTCCTGGCTTTTACCGTCGGCCGCTCTGGCGCTCGTGGTGCTCTCCGGCATGAGGTCGTCGATCCAGCCGAGTTCCCGCTTGGAGAAGCAGAGCTCCATGAGCTTGCGCACGAAGACCAGCGCGACCACCTGCGGCGGTGGGGGAGTGCGAGGGGGGTGGCCGTACACGGCGCACAGCGTTGCGGGGATTGGTAGGGCGCCGTACCGCATGCGTTGCTAATTGGATGTGCGGTGTGTGTATGTTGAACTTCCTTCGCACCGTACCTAGCGAACTCTGCTAATCCCCGGTTTACGCGCTTTTGCGGTACGCCATTTTGGAATAACGTGCCGCTTTGTATTTAGACCTTTAATTGACATCGGCGAGGCAGCTTTCGGAGTAACGCCATCTGCTTCGCGACATACGCGCCACCCTAGCCTGGCACCGCGACCCAATGGCACGGCGAGCAGCAAGTGCGGCGTGATAACTAGTGCGCTGTACCGTGCAGCATCTCACCACGTGTACACCGGCGCGCCTCCCTTTGTCTACACAACGCAACTCTGCCGTGCAGTAAGTCCCCGGGTTGCGGAAGACCGGACTTGCGGACATCCCACTTTACAGAATTGCTCCGATAAATAATGTTAAAACAATGTTTAAATGTGTGGCAATGTATGCGTTAGTTACGCAAGCGCAAGTAGTGCAGCGCAGTGAGGTTGCGGATGAATACCGCCGAGCGAGGCGTGAAGCCGCCTTCACTGAGCCGGAGCTTTACTAGGATTCAGGTGAATGTAATGTTTTGTAGCGTTACGTAATTCTTATTCTTGCGTAGCATTTCGTAATCTTTCGATATAAAGCTTTCGTGACTGCAATGATTCATCTTCTTTGGTTCTTTCGGTAAAGTCACGTAGAATGAGAAGAAAATAATAAATTGATAAAATAAAATAACACAATAATATTCTGTCCTACCATACAGTCTCGTCCCTTCACCTGATGAAGGCCGCTTGTGTTGTGGCCGAAACGTCGTGAGAATATTATTGTGTTATTTTATTTTATCAATTTATTATTTTATTCTCATTCTACGTGACTTTACCGAAAGAACCAAAGAAGACATTTCGTAATCGTTTGTTTTCTATGCTTAGAACTATCTTTTTTTCCCCATGTTTCTATTGCTTGTTTCTTCATTTTAAGTATGTACTTTATTTAACACAATTACAATTCGATTGCTTATCATCTCAGCCAACAGCGATCTGAGAAGTCTCGGCCTAGCCTAACGCACGGTAAACGAACATTCGGAAGTGACTGCATTGTTAACAATTAATATAAAATGTTTCGTGGTATTCATAAACAACTGGATGCAGTATATGCTCCATTAGGTTAATTATACTTTAGAGTTCGGGTAGATATTCGATTAAATTAAAGAATCATAGGAAGTGCAGAGCGTCTGTACAGCGATACGATAGAGGTCGCGATAGAAATCGCGATGCAGTACAGAGAGAAAACGGTAGGGGAGGCAAAACTATTCCCGGCGATGGGATTCTATCGTTGATTTTGGGGGGAAATTGTTCAGTTTCCGACATACGGAAAACGCGGGTTACAGATCGCTCTCGGGAATTGTAACCCTACCGTAACCCGGGGACTGGCTGTAGTTACAATTGTAGGAGGACTAAATGGAGAAGAATCGTTACACAGAGCTACTAAAGATTTATCAAATGTAAAGAATACAAGCGCTGAGAGAAGTTAGAAAGATAACAGGTTGTGAAGGGATAATGGATGAGAGAGAGGGTATTGTATAACAGGTAGTGAAGTAATCATTAATTAGAGAGTGCTGTAGCAAGGGAACCACAAGTGGTTAAGAATCAAGGACCCAGAGGGAGATATAAAAGGGGAGCGTATCTGGTAAAAGGCCTGTTGATACATGCTAGGATAATATTGGCGATTATGTCTGCGAGTGTCAGTGAAATCCCCAAACCCCCTTCTTGACCATTATTTCTTATGGGAAAATAGCATTTTTTGAAATACGTGCGTTTTTCAGGAACGTATCTATCGCGTATGTCAAGGAGTGCCTGTATGTGTTGAACTTCTTTCACACCATACGTTGCCAACCGTGCTAATCGGAGGTGCAAAGTAAGTATGTGTGTAGAACTTCTTTCGGACCGTACAGAGCCAACCGTGCTAATCGGAGGTGCAAAGTAAGCTTAAAGGTCGTGATCTAAGCGTGGCTTCTTCCACTCCAGCGCTGTCCTCCAGACAGTCTCGTCCCTTCACCTGATGAAGGCCGCTTGTGTTGTGGCCGAAACGTCGTGATTTTTTGTTATTTTATTTTCACCTACGTGACTTTACCCAATAGAACCAAAGAGTATGTGTGTATGACATTGGGATCTCTTGTATTTCCATCGATTGCTGTTCCATACCTCCTCATATGGGCACGCACATGCCCAGCGCAACCCTGTTTGGGTATGACATGCCTACTTCACATCATCACCATCATCATAATTTAGGCCTTGGTATTTCATGCACTCATTCTATCGCTTTGCAGCGGCGGGCCCAGTTCCCCCTATGGGGGGAAGGGGTGGTGGTGCACCCCCCCCCCCCCAACCTCACCATGATGGGGAAGATGACGGCGGCGGGGGAGGCCTTGACGGCCCAGAGCAGGGCGAGGCACGCGAGCTGGATGAAGGTGAAGAGGTGCACCTTGCGCAAGGGCACGTGCCGGAGGTAGGCCACGTCCGGCTGGTGCTTGGCCGGCATGCCGTACAGCTTGAGCCGCTCGAAGAACTGCACCGTCGCCGCACGCCAGGGTGACTCGAGTTCGATTCGCCGCCCATGGTGTATGAATCTTTTGCGTGCGTGCACAAAAGTGCTACGAGCCCGGTCACCCGAGTTCAATTCCCCTTTCACGGCCAACATCAGTGACGATTATCTGAAGCGGTCCTGGAAATCCCCTAGGTCGACTCGGCCTCAAATGAGTACCTGGTGCGGTGTGTAAACATTGCACACTGGGGAGACAAAGGTGGCCGTGCGTGGGGTTGGCCACGTATGTTCTTTTTTGTGCGGTGGTGGAAACTTTCCCAACAAATATTTGTCCCAACTCCAAAATCAATTCCGCATTTATTGTACTGCGTTGATTGTGTGTCGTTTATGAAACTGAACACCTGTGCGTGCACGTGGTGGTTTTCATTTGATTTCACAGAAGTTGCGCGAAGCTCACAGGCAAGTGGGAAGGGCAGCCAAAACTGGACACCGATACTCCCCCAAGCTCTGTGGTCCTATATTGGGGTGCTTGGCCAACTCCTTTAACGAGTGTCCATACACGAGGGAGGTAACCGGAGAACCCGGAGAAAACCCAGGCGAGTGAGAGAGAGAGGGGTAACACTCGATCCCCATATAGATGGAACACAGATGGTGATTCATCAACTTTCTGTACTGCCATCGTGCTCTGGCAAGCCAGGGAGGACACACAATCCCTCCTAAGTGAGGAGACGTTAGGCTTCCCCTCCCCCCCCCGCTCCCTTGCGTGCCTTGCCGGCATTAATAGGTGCTCGCCGACAGCACCTGGACCCGTGTTGTGCCAAGCCACGTGCGGAGGGCCAGAGGGGGTTCACGCGTCTCGTGTCGTCTCGTGTCGTGCCGTGCTGTGCAGTGCCAGGCTGTGCCGTGCTGTGCTCTGTCATGCTGTGCTGTGCCTTGCCGCGTTTTGCCATGCCGCGCTGTGTCATGCTATGCCGTGCTATGCCGTGCCGTGCTATGGCGTGCCGTGCCGTTCTGCGCCGTGACGTGATGATGCGGCCGTGGCGCACCGCTGTGTACCACGGGGCGAGCGGCGGTACCTGAATGCCCTGCAGGGAGGAGAGTCCCATGTACATGAAGATGCCGTAGAGCACCGGCATGGGGATGAACTGCGGCAGGGACGTTACACAGGCGCGGCGCGAGCGTTAGTGCCCATCGAGCGTTAGTGCCCTGCGTGCATCAGCGCTCTGCGTGCATCAGCGCCCCGCATGCATCAGCCCCCCGCATGCACCAGCGGTGAGCGAGCGTCACTCTGAGCCCAGAGGGAACCCAGTGAGACCAATCGTCCCAGGGGTTCCTCATTTGCAATTCGTCTCTCCCGGCAGAATTAGAACACCGACTCTCATAATATATATGTATAATGTATATATCAGACTCTCATAATGTATAATGTATATATTAGACTCTCATAATGTATATGTATAATGTAAATATTAGACTCTCATCATCATCATAGGCCTTTGTCTCGAGAGACAATTCTTTTGCACCTTACGAGGTCAGCTATAGATTTTGTAGCGCCTAGAATTACTTAGTAGGCCAATCCTTGAGTGACAATCCTTGCCACAGCAATTGCAAGTGAATGCGGTGGCAGCTCCAGAGGTGTTTGTTGCTTTTTCTTTATATCGCTCCCTCTTGGTCTGCCAAGCAGTGTGTATTAACTCCTTGCCTCTCCAGAGGCCTGTTTTTACAGCCTGCTGCCAGCTGAGTCGGTCGCCGGCAGTTTCTCCCAGTCATTTGGGTTGATGTCGCAGCTCTTCATGTCCCGTTTACAGACATCTTTGAAGCGCAGGACTGGGCGACCAGTGACCCGTGTGCCTGATGCCAGCTCGCCGTACGAGACATCCTTGGGTATTCTGCCATCCTGCATGCGGCGCACGTGTCCAAGCCATCTCAGGCGCCTATGACTGAGTAGAGAGTACATGCTGGGAATGTTGGCCAAGTTGATAACTGAGGTGTTGGGAATGTGATCTTGCCATCTGATATCGAGGATGTGCCTGAGACATCGGAGGTGGAATGTGTTTAGTCGATGTTCTTGATGGGCGTATGTTGTCCAGGACTCAGATCCATAGAGGAGGGTGCTAAGGACATAGGCCCGATACACTTGTACTTTGGTGTTGAGCGTTAGGGATTTGTTCTCCCACACTCTTTTAGTCAACCTGAACATAGCTTTAGACGTCTTCCCAATGCGCTTGTCAATCTCTGTGACAAGGGACAAATTGTAGGTGATGGTAGAACCCAAGTAGGTGAAGTCCTGAACGACTTCCAGGGTGTAGCTGCCAATGTTTATGGAAGGGGTGTCTCTGACATCCTGGCCCATGACATTGGTCTTTTTTAGACTGATTGTCAGGCCAAAGTTGTTGCAGGCATTGGCAAGGTGGTCGATGAGTGTCTGCAGACCTTGTTCTGTGGGAGCTGTCAGCGCAGGATCATCAGCAAAAAGGAGTTCTCTGATGAGGACTTTGCGGACCTTGGTTTTGGATCTGAGACGGCCAAGGTTGAAGAGTTTGCCATCAGATATTGTATGAAGACTCTCTCATCTGCTGTCCCAAAGACATGTGTGAGCATAAGTGAGAAAAAGATGCCAAACAGTGTTGGGGCAAGCACGCACCCCTGCTTTACACCGCTGAGTATGGGAAATTCCTCTGAGGTGGTGCCGCTGTGCTGTATTGTTCCTTTCATGTTGTCATGGAAAGAGGAGATGACTGCCAGCAGTTTCGGTGGACAGCCGATCACTTTGAGGAGTTTGAAGAGGCATCCCATACTGATGCGGTCAAAGGCTTTTGTAAGATCATTGAATGCCAAGTACAGGGGCATTCTCTGTTCTCGACATTTCTCCTGTAGCTGACGCAAGGATAAAAGCATGTCAATTGTAGACCTTCCTGCTCTGAAGCCACACTGAGCCTCAGGATACGTCCTCTCAGCTAGTATCTGTAACCTACTGAGGGCCACACGGGCAAAGGTTTTCCCCACGATGCTCAGCAGGGAGATACCGCGGTAGTTATTGCAGTCCCCACAGTCACCCTTGTTTTTATATAGGGTGATGATGTTAGAGTCTCTCATGTCTTGAGGCACTGCTCCTTCTTCCCAGCACTGGCAGAGAAGTTCATGGAGTTTTGTGAGGACGGCGGGTTTTACACATTTCAGTACCTCAGGTGTGATGCCGTCCTGTCCCGGTGACTTGCCGCTGGTTAGTGAGTTGATGGCGTTGTCAAGTTCCTTCAAGGTTGGAACATTGTCCAGTTCGTGTATCGTTGGGGGGGCTTTACAGCAGCAAGGGCAGCTTCTGACACACCGTTGTCTCGTGAGTAGAGCTCTGAGTAGTGTTCTACCCACCTGGCCATTTGCTCTTGTTTATCAGTGATGATGGCCCCTGTGCTGGATTTGAGGGGGGCAGTCCTCCTGATGTTTGGACCAAAGGCTCTCTTGATGCCTTCATACATGGCACGGATATTGCCAGTGTCAGAGGCGAGTTGGATCCTACTACTGAGATTCACCCAGTAGTTTTTGGCACAGCGTCTGGCGGTCGTTTGAGCTGTACTGCGAGCAGCTTTCAGAGCCCTTAATGATTCTGTACTTGGGACTTGCTTGTAATTCCGGACCGCCATGCACTTGGCTTGGAGGATGGGTTCTAATATAAATCCTCAAACCAGTCTGTGTTCCGCCTTGTCTGCTTGCCGAAGGTATTGATGGCTGCATTGAAGATGGTGCATCTGATGTATGCCCACTTTGTCTCCACGCTTCCATCTGGTGTGTCGTGTAGGGACTGCTCAAGGCTGTGTTGGAATGATTGAGTGAGCTCTGGGAGGGAGGTCTTGGCAGAGTTGATGCGTAGGTAGCGCTTTTGTTTGAGTCCGTGTATCTTTTTGGGGCGTAGTCTGACCTTGCTGGATACCAGCGAGTGATCGGTGTCACAGACTGCACTGTGGTAGTTGCGTGTGATGAGTACCGAGTTGAGGAGGGCTCGTCGGTTGATGATGAGGTCCAGTTGGTGCCAATTAAGAGACCTTGGATGTCTCCATGATACTTTATGGCATGGTTTTGTGAGAAAGAATGAGTTTGTGATACAGAGATTGTGGTATGAACAAAGCTCCAGTAGTCTTTGGCCACTGGCATTCATCTTTCCAATGCCATGATAGCCAAGGCATGCGGGCCACGCGTCGTGGTCAGCCCCAACCCTTGCATTGAAGTCTCCCGACAGAAACATGTGCTCAGAGCTGGGGATTTTGTGAATAATATTGTGAAGCTCTTCATAGAACTGGTCATAAATCTCCGGAGGTGAGTAGAGTGTTGGGGCATAGACACTCAGGATGTTTACATGGCTAGAAGCAGTGAGCAATCTCATGAGTAGAATCCGCTCGGAGCCTGCAGTCAGTGGATCTATCATGCCAAGGAGCGTGTTTTTGATGGCGAACCCAACACCGTGTTGCCTTGGTTCGTTCTGCTATTTTCCTTGCCAGTAGAAAGTGTAGTCACTCTCTCGTAGTGAGCCACTGCCAGCAAGCCAGGTGTCCCGCAGTGCTGCAATATCCACATGGAGTCTCGCCAACTCCCTGTCGATAACTGCAGTCTTGCGGATGTCCTCAATCTGCAAAAGATCTTCGGAGAGTCCAGAACACATTGTGCGTACATTCCAGCTTGCAAAATGAAGGGCTGGAACCTTCTTTCGTTTTGTTTTGCTTTTGTCTGGTGCAGGTTTTGCAGCCCACTTGTCTGGTGATGAACCATAAGCTCCAGGTACCCATTGGAGCAGGTGAGCCGTGGCGGGAAATCACCTTATTGGCTGGGGGCTGCCGAGCTTGAGGCGGGCGGTAGCTATCCATTGGGGTGGAATGACCCCTCCCACCGACGATGGCAACCCATGGCGCCCATTTTTTACGCTAATCTAAAATGAGCTTATAACCCGTGACTGCTGTCGTCTGTGTTTCTTGGCCACGATTAGGTGGCCGAGGAGGAGTGTCCTCTCCCCATTTTTGCCCCTCTTGTTGGCGCAAATCCCGGGCAGGTTATTCTGGAAATCCTGGGTTGCCCATGCGTCAGGATCCCCTCCTCGGCCTTGCTGGTGATGTCCAAAGGAGTGCGTAGCACGACCTTTGGTACCAGTTTGGCTGCAGGGGCTGCCGGGAATGTGCCGCAGTGCGTCACAAAACCGCCTGAGGGGCCCCACTCCTGATTTTGTGTCGGGGTTTACTCCCTTAGCCATTGACTCTCCCGAGACACTCACAAGGCAGTGAGAAAACCGCGTAACTCTGGGCGGGGCCCTTACCAGGTACTGACAGCCAGGCCAGCTGTGTCTGGGACTCGCGTAAGGCAGGGTCGTCACGCCCTGAGGTAGTTTATCACAAACTACCCGCTACCCGTATTAGACTCTCATAATGTATATGTATAATGTATATATTAGACTCTCATAATGTATATGCCTTGAACAATGTGCCGGTCCCCTCAGCTACAGCTCCTCCACACAGACGACGCTTCTTCACTCTCCCCCCTACTTAACATCTGCAGCTTCATCTCAGCCCCACCTCCTGGCCCCCACTCACACTCATCTAACCTCCCCCTCCTACCCTTCTCCCCCATCACCATTGGGGAGTCAACGAGCCCCCCCCAACGTACCGCCCACCCCGCCCCCCACTTGTAAAGTCGGGTCGCCATCTCTCGCGTGGTGGGGCGAGGCGGACCGACAGACGCCGCTCCACCCCGTAGAGGCCCCGTTGCGCCCAAATAGCTTCGCTGCGGAGAAAGCGAAAAACCTCTCCGGCGAGGGCCTTCCCTGCCGCCGCCTCCGTACGACGGTGCTCACCTTGAGCACGCTGGTCATGAAGACGGAGCAGCCCATGAGCAGGAAGATGAGCACCCCGGTGAGGCGCTGCTCGCGCACGCCCAGGAAGCGCGGCTGAGCGCCGGGCGCGGCGCTCTCCGTCTCGAGGCGCAGGCTGTTGACGTGCGAGATGGAGAGCACCGTGGCCGCCACGAACCACGGCAGGCCCATGACGGAGCACACGGCCAGCATGACGGCCACGCACAGCAGGTCCAGGTGGTAGCCGCAGCCCTTCTGCGCACGCACCGGCAACCCGCCACCGCGGCAACCGCCGTCGCAGTCACCACCGCAGCCACCACCGCAGCCGCAGCCACCACTGCAGCTACCACTCTAGCCACCACTGCAGTCACCAGCACACCCACTGCAGCAGCCACCACCGCAACCACCACCGCAGCCACCACAGCCACAAGCGGTGACATGGTCACCCGGCGGAGATTCACACACGGTGGTGATAGTGACAGTACTACTACTATGACTGCGAATTTTTCTCTATAGAGCGCCATTTCGTACCATGATGGGTAAGGCCAACGCACGCAGAGACGCGCACACACAGGGACGCACACACACAGAGACGCACACACACAGAGACGCACACAGGGATGCACACACAGGGACGCGCACACACAGAGACGCACACACACAGAGATGCACACACACAGGGACGCACACACACAGGGATGCACAGACGCACTCGTTCACTCAGGGACTGCGGACATTAAACCCACCCCCATCGAGGGCGGTACCTTGAGCTTGTGCTCCTTCCTATTGATGATGACTGCCGTGATTTGCTGGTCCATGAAGATGAGGATGGTGCAGAGCAGGGCCGGGGCGATCGCCACCAGCGACGACCACCAGGGGTTGGGCCCGATGGGGTCGATGATCCAGCCTCGGTCGTCCCGAGTCGGCTGCCGGAGTCACGGAACACACAGGTTGCCCCCACCTCCAGGGATCGCTGTGCGTTGCCAACAGCCGGGGAACATTGTGTGCTCCCCTTGGCGTTGTTTCAACTGCGCTCCCTTCATCCTTCTTGGAACAAAGTCGCCGCCGCGAGAGATACCCTTAACGGAATGATCGCCGGTAGGAACGCGATTCGCTTCCGCTGTGGGGGGGGAGCAACAAGCGGTGATGACGATGCACCCCCAGTCACACCAGCAAGTCACACCCTCAGTCACACCCCCAGTCACACCCCCAGTCACACCAGCAAGTCACACCCCCATTCACACCCCCATTCACACCCCCAGTCACACCCCCAGTCACACCTCCAGTCACACCAGCAAGTCACACCCCCAGTCACACCAGCAAGTCACATCACCAGTCACAACCAAATAAAGTTAAAACACGGATTCATCAAACACTGCGGAAACCTCAAATCCATACTACATCTGATGGCGGTGTGGCTGTGTGGTGGTGTGGTGGTGATGATGTGTAGTGGTGTGGTAGTGTTGATGTGTAGTGGTGTGGTGGTGTGACGGTGTTGATGTGTAGTGGTGTAGTGGTGTGGTGGTGTTGATGTGTGGTGGTGTTGATGTGTGGTGGTGTTGATGTGTGGTGGTGTTGATGTGTAGTGGTTGTGGTGTAGTGGCGGTGTTGATGTGTAGTGGTGTGATGGTGTGGTGGTGTTGATGTGTAGTGGTTGTGGTGGTGTAGTGGTGTGGTGGTGTTGATGTGTGGTGGTGTTGATGTGTGGTGGTGTTGATGTGTAGTGGTTGTGGTGTAGTGGCGGTGTTGATGTGTAGTGGTGTGGTGGTGTGGTGGTGTTGATGTGTGGTGGTGTGGCGGTGTGATGGTGTTGATGTGTGGTGGTGTGATGGTGTGGTGGTGTTGATGTGTAGTGGTTGTGGTGGAGTGGCGGTGTTGATGTGTAGTGGTGTGGTGTAGTGGCGGTGTTGATGTGTGGTGGTGTGGTGGAGTGGTGGTGTTGATGTGTAGTGGTGTGGTGGTGTGGCGGTGTTGATGTGTAGTGGTGTGGTGGTGTGGTGGAGTGGCGGTGTTGATGTGTAGTGGTGTGGTGGTGTGGCGGTGTTGATGTGTAGTGGTGTGGTGGTGTTGATGTGTAGTGGTTGTGGTGGAGTGGCGGTGTTGATGTGTGGTGGTGTGGTGTAGTGGTGGTGATGATGTGTAGTGGTGTGGTGTTGTGGTGGTGTTGATGTGTAGTGGTGTGGTGGTGTGGTGGTGTGGCGGTGTGGCGGTGTGATGGTGTTGATGTGTAGTGGTTGTGGTGGTGTGATGGTGTTGATGTGTAGTGGTGTGGTGTTGTGGTGGTGTTGATGTGTAGTGGTGTGGTGTTGTGGTGGTGTTGATGTGTAGTGGTGTGGTGGTGTGGCGGTGTGGCGGTGTGGCGGTGTGGCTGATAGTGGAGTGGCGGTATGGTGGTTTGGCTGTTTGGTGGTGTGGTGGTGTGGCTTGGTAGTGGGGTGGCTTGGTAGTGGTGTGGCTGGGTAGTGGTGTGGTGGAGTGGCTTGGTAGTGGTGTGGCTTGGAAGTGGTGCGGTAGTGTGGTGGTGTGGCTGCCACCTTGAAGGCGCTGGGCACGTGGAGCTTGGCGGTGGGGATGCCCAGCATGGCGTCCACCAGCACCATGCTCACGATGGTGAGGAACACCGCAAAGTCGCTCACCACCGCACGTACCTACCTCGCCGAGACACACGGGCACCACGCTCACCCCCACTCACCAGCACTCACCCCCACTCACCCCCACTCACTCGACACATTCACCCGCACTCACCCCCACTCACCCGCACTCACCCCCACTCACTCGACACGCTCACCCACACTCACCCCCACTCATTCGACACGCTCACCACCCGCCTTTCACCCCCACTCAATGCGCTCATCATCCCCTTCCGCACACACGACACTAACCACGCGCCCCTCACCGACACTCGCCACTCTTCCCACAAAGGCCATCGTCTCCCTGGGGGTCAATAAAACGAGTGGAGAAATCGACAGTGGTTGTCCAATGGGTCGACTCGTCCCTGCCATAGAAACGTGGAATTTACACCACTGGCTCAGGGCTGTGATTGGGAGATGAAAACTGATGCTTCACTGCTGCTGATTTGAGTAGCAAATCACTCTGGCTTTGCCAGCGTGGCCTGGGTAGGTGTCTGTGTAGGTGTCTGTGTAGGTGCCTGTGTAGGTGTCTGTGCAGGTGTCTGTGTAGGTGTCTGAAGGGGGCGTGGGAGTGTGGTGGTGAGGTGTGGGAAGCTGTAAGCCCCAGGCTACTTTGGGCTCGCCTTCCCATCAACCGGAGGCGAGGAGTGGTGGTCGTGGTTACGTATGCCCCCACCGAAGACGAACATCCGTGGAGGGATGCAGGCAAAGCCGATGAGCCAGATGCCTTCTATGACCTCCTGTCACAGGTGCTGGCTAAAGTGGCCCTTCGGGATAGAGTCATCTTGTTGGGTGACTTCAATGCCCGAGTGGGTCATGATGCTGGCACCTGGTCTGGAGTGATTGGAGGGCATGGGCCAGATCAGCTAAATAACAACGGTAGGAGCCTGCTAGATTTTTGTGCAGCCCATGGGCTTGTAATTACCAACACGCTGTTCCAGCATCGGCGCATCCACACAATATCATGGATGCATGCCGGGTCCAAGCAAGAACATCTGCTGGACTACATAATGACGGACCAGCGGATGCGAGCCCATGTTCTTGACACCAGGACCTACCGTGGAGTTGATCTGCCCTCTGACCATCGACTAGTCATCTGTAAGATGTGCCTGCCATTCTTCCACTCCAGTGGTGGGTGTACACCCAGGACCCCATTCCAACCTAAAGTGGCCTGGTCTCAGCTGATGAAAGTTGCAAGCGAGAATTTTCACGATCGCTTGCAGCTGGGGTTGGAATCGTCCCCCCACTCCTCCTGATGTCGAGGGAAAATGGGCGAGGTTTAGGACTGTGACTCATGCAACTGCAATGGCTGCTTTGGGTACACGGTCCAGACCTCCCCAGAGACCCTAGCTGACAGAGGAGGTGTTCAGGATAGTTGAGAAAAAGCAACAGGCCCACTGTCATCGGCTACAGAATCCCCAGTCAGAGAATGAGGAGGCTTACCACAGCCTTCGCTCGGAGGTTCGAAGAGCCGTGAGGTGCTGCAAGGATGGGTGGTGGTCGCAGGTTGCTGAGGAGATGGAGTCTGCCTCAGTGGCCCGCGATCAGAAATGCCTATTTAACTCCATCAAAAAAGTAACCTGCAGTGCCACACCTATTACCATCATTAGGGGAAAAAAACGGTGATCCAATCTCCGACCCCCAGGAACAGGTTTGCAGATTTGCTGAGCACGTTTGCTACAGCAGAGGTGTAGGGAATTTCAACAAGACCTACATCTCTGCTTTATTGACCTGATCAAGGCCTATGATACCATCAGTAGGCCTGGGCTCTGGGTTGTTCTTCGTGTTTTGGAGTCCATGACCCTCTGCTCACGATCATTAAGGACATTCATGATGGTGAGCGGGCCTGGGTAAAACTACGTGGCCGGGAGTCAGAGCCATTCCCTGTACACCTTGGGGTGCGACAGGGATGTCCTCTGGCTCCCACATTATTTAACATCTATTTTGACCACGTAGTTCGTGAAGCCTTCAATAGCTGTACCGGGGGAATCTCCATTTGGTACAGATATAATGGGAGCCTGATCGATGCCCAGGTGCGGTTAAGTGATGGCTCACTATTGCTCAACTACGTTATGTATGCCGATGATTTGGTAATCGCTGCTCATTCAGAGGAGGAGTTGGAGACGCTGCTGCTGAGATTGGAGCGTGCCACGAAGAGATGGGGCCTTACCATCAGCCCCACCAAAATTAAGCGCCTGCCTGGGTATTTTGTACCATTGGACACTCCACCCCCACAACTCCCAATTGGTGATGGAGCAGTTGTGGAGAGAGTGGAGAGTTTCCCATACCTGGCAGTGTGCTTATGACCGGCTCCAGTTTAACAGCAGAGGTCTCACTCCGAATCAGTCGAGCGGCAATATCTTTTCATCGGTTGCGTAACGCTGTATGGAATCTACCCGGTCTGTCGCTCCGCACTAAGTTTCAGGTCTTCTCGGTCACGGTCATTCCCTCCCTTCTCTACGCTTGCGAAACGTGGACCCCCCTAATGGAACATCTTCGCCGGTTATAAACATTAAGGCTAGCCTGCCTACGATCCGTCTTGGGTTTAGCCAGGCTGGATTGTGTGAGGAGCTCACAAATCCTTGAAAGATCTGGGCAAGGTCCCATCGGTGAGCTCCTCCAGCAGGCAAGGCTGCGTTGGCTGGGTCATGTAGCCCGCATGCCCAGCCACCGCATGCCGAAACAGCTTTTGTTCGGCCGGATCGAAGGGGTTAAATGGGCGCGGCACGGGCTAGAGAAGAGATGGAGTGATGTGGTACAGGAGGACGTGGAGCTGAGTGGACTTGCCGATGACTGGTACCAGCGGTGTCAACATCGGCCTCTGTGGAGGAGGCTCGTGAAGGACGCTACTGGGCAGTTGGGGGTAGTCGCCCTCCAACAACAACGGAGGGCGGAGGAGCGACGCTCACAACAACGAGCGTAGCACCGGGTGGCTAAAGCACAGCAGGTTGGCACAGTAGGGGAAACAGGTGGTGCATCAGCCAGTCATCTCAGTCATCTTAGTCGACCCGTGGCACTTGGGTTTGCCCCGTGACCTCCTGCCAGCGGGCATTCGACACTTCACGTGGCCTCAAGGTGCACATGGCCTGGCACAAGCATCGTGGTGATGTCACCGCCACTTAGTGGCGAATGGCTGTTGTTGCCTGTGTGGGTGTCTGTGTGGGTGTCTGTGTGGGTGCCTGTGTGGGTGTCTGTGCGGGTGTCTGTGTGGGTGTCTGTGTGGGTGTCTGTGTGGGTGCCTGTGTAGGTGTCTGTGTGGGTGTCTGTGTGGGTATCCGTGTGGGTATCCGTGTGGGTGTCTGTGTTGGTGCCTGTGTGGGTGCCTGTGTGGGTGTCTGTGTGGGTGCCTGTGTGGGTGTCTGTGTGGGTGCCTGTGTGAGTGTCTGTGTGGGTGCCTGTGTGATTGTCTGTGTGGGTGTCTGTGCGGGTGTCTGTGCGGGTGTCTGTGTAGGTGTCTGTGTAGGTGTCTGTAGGTGTCTGGCCTTGGTGGGGAGGTATCTCATGGTCTTGAAGCGCTTGAGGAAGGAGGACAAGAGGAGGGTGGTGAAGAAGAGCAGCACGGAGCAGAGCAGCACGTCCGGCACGTACGGGCCGCCAGGGCCACACGCCGCTCCCACGAACCCCCCTCCCAGGCGCCAGCATTCCTGCACGCATACACACAGACAATACACACACACACAGATGATACACACACAGACGATACACACACACAGACGATACACACAGAAGATACACACACACAGATAATACACACACACAGACGATACACACACACAGACGATACACACACACATGATACACACACACACACAGATAATATACACACACAGACGATACACACAGAAGATACACACACACAGATAATATACACACACAGACGATACACACACACAGACGATACACACACACATGATACACACACACAGCCGATACACACACACAGACGATACACACACACAGATGATATACACAGATGATGCACACACAGATACACGCACAGATACACTCACGCACACACAGATACGCACACACAGATACATACACACACAGATATACACACACAGATACACTCACGCACACACAGATACGCACACACAGATACATACACACACAGATACACACACGCAGATATACTCACACACACACAGATACACACACACAGATACACTCACACACACACACAGATACACTCACACACACACAGATACACTCACACACACACAGATACACACACACAGATATACTCACGCACACACAGATACATATACACACAGATATACTCACGCACACACAGATACATACACACACACATATATACTCACGCACACACAGTTACACACACACACAGATACACTCACACACATACAGATACACTCACACACACACACAGATACACTCACGCACAAACAGATACACACACAGGTATACTCACGCACACACAGATACACTCACACACACAGATACACTCACACACACAGATACACTCACACACACAGTTACACACACACAGATACACTCACGCACACACAGATACACACACACACAGATACATACACACACAGATACACACACAGATACACACACAGATACACACACAGATACACGCACACACAAACAGATACAAATACAAAATCCCCCCGTATAGCTTGAACAGACTGTTGGGGCAAGTGCTGTTAGCGAGCAGCACTTATGAAGGCCGGCACGGCACACAAGGAGGTGGGTGGCCAGCATCACGCCCTACCGCCTTTGTCTCCCCAAGACTAATGTGTTAACATACCACAACAGGTACGAAGTTAATGCTGAGTCAACCTAGAGGAGGCCCAGAACCGGTTCAGATATTCATCAAGGTTGTTGGCCGTATGGTGAGTAGCACTTATGAAGGCCGCCCCGATCCCCAAGAGGGTGGTGTGACCAGTGCGGCTTCCAGCCGCCTTTGTCTCCCAAGGGTTGATGCTTCAACACACCACAACAGGTACTCATTTAATACTGAGTCAACCTAGGGGAGGCCCAGGATCGATTCCATTATTGGCTGTGAGCACATAAAAAAATCTAATTTGGGTCACAATAGGTTCGTAAACACCCATTTGAAAACCGATTACTTCAGACTGCCTTCTTTATTGTATTAGTATCATCATTGTGAAAGGCTCAAGACCCTTCACCACGAGGGTCCTGACAAGTTTCTCGCAGGAGGAGCCGATGATGCTGCGTGTGATCCCAGTAGAGTAATTTGCAGGTATAAGAATATCAGAATAGGTTTTAGCCTTTCTGGCAATAAAACCGGCGTTAAGATGACAAAAAACCAAACTGAAACCTTTTGCAGGTAGTTTCCCGCACTGGGATGTGTTTGACCAGTGCCAGATTTACGTTGCACGTTTCATCTTCTTGTTTTAAACTTGCAGGGCTGCGGAACATCCGGCCCGCGGGCCGTATGAGGCCCGCGAAGTCATTTGGTCTCTGGCCCTGCCAAGGCAACCGCAGGCGGGACTCGAAATTCAATAAATCTAGGTAGAGCAAACCTGGACAAGCAGTTGCGAGTAGCAACATCGTCAACACCGGCTAACATCACCACACGCCTCACCAAAGAGAAGCGGTTCCAGCCATCGCATTAGGGGTGAGTTAATTAAATATTTGACCAAATATAACGGGCTAACTTTTAAGTCGATAATTTTTGTATGACCCGCGAATGATGTGTTAAATATCCAAATGGCCCTTGGCAGAAAAAAAAGTTTCCCCAACCCCTGTTTTAAAGCCGTGAGAATAAGCCCAACCCCCAGTCCCGGAGGAAACCCATTGGGAGCGCTGTAGCTGCGCACGGTGAGTGCGGTGAGAATTGTCTGCGTGGCCGTGACGGCCAGGGCACGGTGCCGGCTCACGCTGACGGTGAGGTTCCCCCAGGGAACGGCGCTCCCCGTCACGTTGTGGCGCTCCCACAGGCGCAGCGTCTCGTTGCTGGGTTCCGCGGGAGCCACGCACGCGCACCTGCAGCACGTGCCGCACGCAGCAACACCTTCAGCGCACGCAGCGCACGCACTGCGCAGCACACCTGGAACGCACTTGCAGCACACGCACCAGCAGCACACCTGCAGCACACCTGCAGCACACCTGCAGCACACACACCACGCACCTGCAGCACACACACCACGCACCTGCAGCACACGCACCACGCACCTGCAGCACACACACCTGCAGCACACCTGCGGCACACCTGCAGCACACCTGCAGCACACACACCACGCACCTGCAGCACACCTGCAGCACGCACACCATAGAACGCGCGCGCGTGCGCACACGGCGGGGAGCGCGACGCCCCACGCTGGTCACGTGTCCTCCAACGCCGTCGTTCCCCCGCTCAGGTGGGGAGCATTGGACGGGGGCTGTGGGAACATTCTCCCCCTGCTGTCCGTGCGTAGGGGAATCGCCCAGGCGTGGTGCCAGAATCGAGCTGCTATTATCCGAGCTTTTGCATTACCCAAGGGTCTCCCAAGGCCGCCGAGGTTCAGTGAATGAATCCCAGTTGACACGCGTCGTGGACGGGCACTGCAAGATCCGACCGTGTCCTTCCGCTGCTCGCTGAGCTAATGACGACACAACACCGGACTAGTGAGTCATCGGTGAGTCGGCAGGACCGTCACGCAAACTGCGGTCATCCTTGCAGCAGCGGCGGCAGCAGCGGCGGCTTTTGGCTAACCATCGGTCACCGCATCGCGCGCTTTCAGATGCGCTCCTGCTTCTGTCTGGAACGCTCTTCCATCCGGTATTAGGAAGCCACGAGAACGATGCACATTTAAATCATCTAGATTGAAACACTCATTTCTTTACAACTGGCTTTTTATGCTTAGTTTGTTGTCCTTCCCCCGTATCTCCGATTAGCATGGCTGGCTACGTACGGTGCGAAAGAAGTTCAACATTCATACATACAGACATTGATTGTACATACAGCTGGCGGTGGAGGTGCACGGGATAGGGCAAGGGGCTTCAGGGAGAAACGCACGGGGACAAGGGGAGGAGGAAGGGACGAGATCGCTAAGAAGGTGGAGGTGGAGGAGGGTTCGGGATAACCTTCGGGGAGGTTCGAGAAGGAACACGGAGAGAGAGAGAGGATAAGAGGCCGTCTCGTGCAGACTTCCCTCTCTCTCACAACGAAGACAAAGATCCCCCGTGCTGCCTTAACAGACTGTTGGGGCAAGTGCTGTTCGCGAGTAGCACCTGTGAAGGCCGGAACGGCACACGAGGGGGTAGGGGGCCAACACCACGCCCGACCGCCTTTGTCTCCCCAGTGGCGATGTTTACACACCGCACCAGGTACTCATTTCAGGCCGAGTCGACCTAGGGGGAGGCCCAAGACCAGTTCAGATAATCGTCTCTGGTGTTGGCCGTGAGCAGGAATCGAACTCGGGTGGCCGGGTTCATAGCGCAGCGTAGCGCTGACCGCTACTACACTACCGCTTCGCACCAATCGCTACACCCGGAGTTCGCCACTAAGTGATGGTGACGTGAGCACACTTTGAGGCCACGTGAAGTGTCGAAGGCTCGTTGACGGGAGGTCACTGAGACAGACCCTGCCATGGGGTTGACCGACCGAGATGGCTGGCAGATGCACACGCGCTGTGCCCCCCTACTCACACGCGCTGTGCCCCCCTACACTCGCGCGCTGTGCCACCCTACTCACGCGCTGTGCCCCCTACTCGCGCGCACAGAGACGACGACGAAGAGCGTGCGAGCGTCGGCCACCACTCACGAGTAGTGCGTGAGCCGCTGCAGGTCCACGCGGGGGTTCACGGGGTACTCCTCGCCCAGGCGCACGAGCTTCTCCAGCGCCTCGTAGATGAAGATGACGCAGATGAGCGCGGCGAAGGCCTCCTCGGTGAAGCGCGTGATGTAGCGCACGAGCGAGCTCGCGTCCGTGGCCACGAGAAGCAGGCAGAGGAACGCCGTCCACAGGCCGATGCACGCGCGCAGCGACAGGTACGACCAGCCCTGTGTCCTACACGCACGCACGGAGGGGAGGGCACACGTGGAGACGCAAGAGATGCACACCCCCCTGGTCAAGGGTGCCGCGGTCACTAGGAGATGTTAACTTCCTCGCCCGGTATACGGGAGGCCGTCGATTCGATCCCAACCCTGACGCCTGTTGTACATTTGCAGTTCCCGTGTGCTGTCTCTCTCCCCGCGGTTGCGTGGAGTTTTCTCCGGTTTTTCCCCTCTATGTTTAGGATCAATGTCACGCGTTCAGAGTATTTGGCCGCTATACATTTTTCCGCGGCATAAGCCACTTCATTGAGCTGGCATTTGTGATAGCCAGGCTGCTTCTGAAAAATAGCTACATAGCTCAGTGGGCCTTAGATGGTAAAGTAAAACATTGTTCATATTCTTTGGGTCTTTCGATAAAGTCACGTAGATAGGTTCAAAGAAAATAACCAAAAAAACTACGACGTTTCGATCGCAACACAAGCTCGAAACGTCGTAGTTTTTTTGTTATTTTTGTTGTTTTCTTTGAACCTATCTACGTGACTTTACTGAAAGACCCAAATAATATGAATTCCTGCAGTCACGAAAGCTTGAAGTCAAGATAAAACATTGTTTAGTTTTAGTAGTTTAGCAGTTTAAGGTGCAAAGCTCCGGACCGTCCTGGTTTTTCCTCCGTCCATGACCCCTCTCTCTCTGTACCATGAGACCACCCCCGCCGCCGCGATATTCCACAGCACGTTGCGGTATGGTAGGTTGCATCACCATCATCATCAGCAACATCAGCAACAGCAGGAGAGAGGTATGAGCAAAGTATCATCTTCACCTCTGCTTCCTCCTCCATCACCACCTACTCGACCTCTACTCTGACCTTGAACATCACCATCTCACCTATACTGACCGCCATCTCTACTCTGACATGGACGTGATTGATCAATTGTCACCGTCTCCACCATCACCTCCATCTTCACCCTGACCTTCGTCTCCTCCACAGCCTTTTCAAGCTGGTGACGATGGTGGTGGTGGAGATGGTGGTGGTGATTATAATGGTGTTGATGATGGTGGTGGTTATGATGCTGGTGATGATGATGGTGGTGGTGTTGATGATGGTGGTGGTGTTGATGATGGTGGTGGTGTTGATGATGGTGGTAGTGGTGGTGATGGTAGCGCTCGTTAATGAGCGACTCACTTGCAGAACCCAAAGAGGATTTTTTCGAAGACGAGCACTGGGCCTGTGCTGCCCAGGATAGTGAGAGGCTGCCCCGCGAATATGGAGAAGGCCAGGCCGGTCATGGAGGCTCCCAGCAGAGATTCCATGGCACTCTAAAAAGACAAAGACCAAGCTCCCCCACGGGGAATGGTTAACAGACTGCCAATGCTCTCACTCCGCAGCTTGTTGTTGTGTTTAGTTTGTGGTCCTTCCCCCGCACCTCCGATGAGCACGGTTGGCTACGTACGGCGCGAAAGAAGTTCAACGCACACATACAGTTCAACAAATGAGCCTCATGGCGGGACCCCGGGGTCCCATACGCCCCCAGCTCTCGCGTAAACATTATATTATATATATGTCAACATATTATAATGTAAACATTACATTATATATTATATATGTCAACATTATATTATGTCAACATTATATTATATAATGTAAACATATTATAATCTAAACATATTATAATGTGAACATATAATGTAAACATATTTTAATGTAAACAAAAACTTCGCTCTCTTTCACCAATGGGTTTGAAGGATGGTGGCAAGTGTTGTCTTGCTGAAAACTACTTACCTGCAGTACCTCTATTTAAATGCACTGTCTAAAAATAATTTACACCCCTCTGGCAATCATCGTGTTTCTCAGTGTGAATGTGTGAACACACTTTGTAAACAGTACATAAAATAGTACGCGTGTTCAATGCACTGCTTATAATGTAACAAGCGTTAATACCAATGTTACTCTACAGAGCAGTGGGTCGCCGCTCCTCTTATCCGCATTGATACGAGCGGTATGTGGGGACTATGGCTTAAACGCAAAAACAAACCTATCTGCACAGATGCATACGGACAAGAGAAGTGTTATCAAACGGGAGGAATTAACGGTGCAATGCATCTCATCTGTTAAATATCTGCAGATCGATTGATCCTGGCTGCAGACATTGGTAGTTCACAAATAATAATGAAGATAAGAGAGCAGATTCACTGTATTATGCATACCGTGATGACAAATAAAGGACTGGAGGCAGATTGAGCAGCTTTGGACAAGACTTGGGGGCCGTCCATAAATGACGTCACGCGATTTTTGACGATTTTTGACCCCCCCCCCCCCTTCGTCACACGGCGTCACAAAAAGTCAGACCCCCCCCTCAAATAATGTGGCGCTGCACTCTGATGTTGTAGGAGACAGACTCATACCTCAGGTCACTCTTGCCAATGAGACTTATCCTGGTCTCTTGAGTTCTCACCTTGTTTAACAAATCCAACTTGAACCTAACTGCATTTAACGTCTTAAAGCGCAGGAGTCACTTTCGGCTGCAGTGGAATATTGAATCGCTGGGTGGTAAACATTTCACGGATTTAATCGCTGATTTGGCGAATGCGACTTGGGGGCCGTCCATTAATGACGTTACGCGACTTATGACGATTTTTGACCCCCCCCCCCTCGTCACACGACGTCACAAAAAGTCAGACCCCCCCTTAAATCTGACGTCACAAAGCTCTGCCCCCCCCCCAAATAAAACATGCTTAAAATAGCTTTAAACTATTGTCATTGTAGTGCGTATTTAATGTGGCGCTGCACTCTGATGTTGTAGGAGAAAACATTTATTAAAAGTCTATTTAATTAAGTAGAACGTGTTGTCTACATTTATTTAAAGTTGCACATTTTGATGTGACGTCACATTTCTCAACCCCCCCCCCCCCCCTCCCTTGTCACACATCGTCACAAATGTCTGACCCCCCCCCCCCCCCAGGTGCGTGACGTCATTTATGGACGGCCCCTTATGATCCTGCCCATACCCGAGCATGGAGCGCATTCGCTTGTTCAGCTCTTGTGCGCCTTCATCCTCGCAGCTGCGCTTGGAGGACATCGCGACAGAAACGACCCGCGCCAGGTGGATCGCGGCGTTGATGTGCGTGGTGGGACGGAGTCGCCATAAATAAATGAATTACGATTCTGATTTCCGTTTATCCCGCCATAAGGTTCGTATATACAACATACACACAACATCCATAAAACAGGCCTTTTGGGTGAGATCGCATACATATAAATGTGTCGTTAAACCCGCCACCACCTGCCAATCAGTAAAGGTTGTCACGTGAACAGAACATGCCAATTACTAGCAGAGCACACCGGTTGTGTGTTGCAGAGTAAACCCACAACATTTACAAACGGAGTACGACGTTTCGTCAGTAATTATAACTAGCTAAATCCTCCTGTTTCGTTCTATAGATAGAGGGATAGATGTGATGGGGCCACTTGTGAGCCCTTCGCATGTGAAGCCCAAAGGGGGCCGGGGCGGATTAATGAATGAATATATACATACAACGTTCGTACAACGTTCGTACAACATTCACGAACGGGGAAAAAGTGACGAGGCGTCACTGCGTGTCCGGACAGACGTGGCGCTGTGACTGCCTGGCCCCGGGAGGGTGGGGGTCACGTGGTGGGGGGGGGGTGGTTGGGGGTTACGGGTGAGGGGGCTCAGGGGTCATGACTTCATGGTGCCGCCGTGCACCACTGCGGAGTGCGTGGGACTCACGATGGAGCCGTCGGTGGCCTCTCCCAGCAGGCCGCCAAAGGTGATGACGGGCGACATGCAGGCGCAGTAGAGGAAGAGGAAAGAGGCGACGCACTGCAGGCTCGTGCCGTCGCGCACGTCGCTCCAGTACCACGGCGCCTTCCGCCGCACGTCCCCGACGAGCCCCCCAAAGAGCCTGGCAAGAAGGAGAGCCGCTCACGCCGCTCGCGCCGCTCCACGGGGCGCAACAGTAGCCAGGAGATGTTAAATACCTCGCCTGGTTTACTAAAAACTATCGAAAACTATTTTTTCTTTGACCAGGTAATGGCCCATTGAGCTCTGTAGCTATTTTTCAGAAGCGACTTGGTCATCACAAATGATAGCTCGACCAAGTGGATCATCATCATCATGTCGAAATTTACAGCAGTAGCCAATTACTCTAAATGCGTGATGTTGACTCTAAATGTGGAGGGAAAACTGAAGGACATGGAGAAAAATACACAGAGTCCACGGGGAGAACATGCAAACTCGAAATATACAGGAGGCATCAAGGTTGGGATCGAACCCACGACCTCCTGTATAGCAGGCGAGGGAGTTAACATCTCGCGACCCTGACGCCTGCTGTAAATTTGGAGTTTGCGTGTCTCTCTCTCTCCGTGGTCATGTGGATTTTCCTCCGTGTCCTCCGGTTTTTCCCCTCTACATTTAGAACCAACGTGACGGGTTTCGAGTGTTTGGCTCCTGCTGTAACTCTCCACGTGATGATGATGAGAAGCCACTTGGTCGAACTCTCTCATTTGTGATGGCCAGGTCGCCGCTTCTGCAAAAGAACTACACAGCAGGTCAGCGGGGCCTTACACCTGGTCAAATAAAGTTGTAGTTTAGCTCCGGCCTCGTTGCCGCACTTGTGATTTACTTCGCGGAAGCGTTGGGTTTTTTTTCCCCTGTCTACTTTCGTTCACGGGTTTTGTCTGCGACCGTGCTGTTAAGGCCCTGAGGTTAACTCCCACAAGGCAGTGCGCTGCCCTCTCTCTCTCTGTGCATGTTGAAGAACGCCCCGCGGAAGTGGATGCATCAGAACTGCTTCTTGAGATCCCGTCAAGTGGCAATTTCCCGCACGCCCCGCTATAGACAGCAACCAATGTTGTTTAAGACGTAGGTTTCGCGACCAATATTATTAATAACAAAGGTTTGTTGGGTTAGATCGTGATCTAACCCAACAAACATTCTTTAGAATTATGTTGTTGTTGTCTGATTTGTATTACTGTGTCATTATGATTATTGTAATTCTCTTTTATCATAGTTCTTCATTTTATTACAATTTCGAGTGTAATCCTTGATATTGTTGTAATCGGCTTTCTATGTCGCTTAATCCATACTTGTGAGCGTAGCTTTATGTTTACGTGCAGTGCTTTGAGATAACGTCAACATGAAGGGCGCTTCATAAAATAGAGGTTATGGTTGTTAAGTATTATAATAATTGTTATTACCTGCCCGTGCGCTGGAGCTCAGGTCCCAGGCTGTGCTCGGGAGCTTTGGGCTCCACCCCGACTCCGGTTCCGTTGGTCACCGGCGAAGTTTTCCGTTTCTCCTGTCCCATTCACCGGGGAGCGGTGAGAGACGTGGAACATAGACCTCCGTTCACGCGCAGCGCTCGCCCTGCCTGCCTGCCCGCATCGGGGCTTTACGTTCCACTGATGAAATCGAGCAATCAGACGAGTCATTAAAACCAACCTGGCACCAATATGCCAAAGTTGGCCCAAAGTGCCACGCTTACTGGGAACCAACCAATGACACGGATGAAATTTAACCGACCGGTAACAATCATCAAAGAACCCCGTAAGTCGAAACATCAATCATTCCATCCAATCGGAAATTAACCCATATGTTTACCCGTAAATGAGTCCAATCAATCACTCAGCCAATGCATCAATCAATACATGCGTCCATCAATCACTCCATCAGATACATTAATCAATCCATTCATCAATCCATCAACCAATAAATCCAACATACAATGGCAGCGGCCCCCCCCCCCCCCCCCCCACTCCCACATCCTGCCTCCTGAAGGGGGGAAACCCCAACAAGGCGCCTCCTGTCCCTGTCCCAGGCATCGTCTGCCGCGGGGGCTGCCCTTGGCCTCATTGGTGCTGCCCCTGGGGCTCACTGTTGGTGATGTTGTGGTCATTATTGTTGACGCTGTTGTCATTGTTGTTGTCATTGTTGTCGTTGTGGCCGTTATTGTCGTTGTCATTGTCTTTGTTGTCGTTGTTGGTGCTGGGCCCACGTTGCTTGGTCTCAGGCCATGCTGCTTTACTGCCCTCTCTACCCTCGCGCGTTTCCAGGGCCCTAACCTCCACCCCCAGGGCCATGACCTCCACTCCCAGGTCCCTGATCTCCATACCTAGGGCCCTGACCTCCTCCCCCAGGTCTCTGACCTCCACCCCCAGGTCCTTGACTTCCACACCCAAGACCCTGACCTCAACCCCCAGGTCCCTAACGTCAACCCCCAGGGCCCTAACGTCAACCCCAGGGCCCTGACCTCAACCCCCAGGGCCATGACCTCAACCGCCAGGGCCATGACCTCCACACCCAGGGCCATGACCTCCACTCCCAGGTCCCTGATCTCCGCACCCAGGTCCCTGACCTCCACTCCCAGGGCCATGACCTCCACACCCAGGTCCCTGACCTCCACACCCAGGGCCATGGCCTCCACTCTCAGGTCCCTGACCTGAACACTGAGGTCCCTGACCTCCACTCCCAGGGCCATGACCTCCACACCCAAGACCCTGACATCAACCCCAGGTCCCTGACCTCCACTCCCAGGTCCCTTACCTCCACTCCCAGGTCCCTGACCTCCACTTCCAGGTCCCTGACCTCCACACCCAGGTCCCTGACCTCCACACCCAGGGCCATAACCTCCACTCCCAGGGCCATGACCTCCACACCCAAGACCCTGACATCAACCCCAGGTCCCTGACCTCCACTCCCAGGTCCCTGACCTCCACACCCAGGGCCCTGACCTCCACACCCAAGACCCTGACATCAACCCCAGGTCCCTGACCTCCACACCCAGGGCCCTGACCTCCACACCCAAGACCCTGACATCAACCCCAGGTCCCTGACCTCCACACCCAGGGCCCTGACCTCCACGCCTAAGACTCTGACATAAACCCCAGGGCCCTGACCCCCAGGTCCCTGACCTCCACACCCAGGACCCTGACCTCCACCCCAGGGCCCTCACCTTCACCCCCAGGTCCCTGACCTCCACCCCCAGGGCCGGCGCTAGGGGGGCACTGAGGTGGGCCCTGCACCACCCAGTGTACCTGTGCTCCCCTCCCTCCCAGCAGGATCTCACTGACATGGTGTCCCCCACAATTAATCCCACCACCCAACCATCTCACTCGAATGTAATGAGAGCACTGCTCTTTTTTCATTTATATATGTGATGTTTTTGTTGTGCCATTGGTTGTTATGGTTGTTGTCGTTGTTGTTGTGGCGGCGGTTGCTGTGGATGTCGTGGTCACGGGCTGTTGTGTGTTTGTTGTTTATTGCTCTTGTGGTTGTCTTTCTTGTTGCTTCTTGTTGTGTTGTTGTTGTCGGCACAGTAGGGGGCATAGGTGGTGCAACTGCCATCATCTCAGTCAACCAACCCATGGTAACCTGGGTCTCTCCTGTGTGACCTCCTGCCAGCGGCGAGCCTTCGACACTTCACGTGGCCTCAAAGTGCACCGTGGAAATGTCACTGCCGTTGATTGGTGAATCGCGGCTGTATTGGTTTTCATTGTGGTTGTTGCTATTGTGGCGGTAGTTTCTGTGGATGTCGTGGTCGCGGGATGCTGTTGTGTGTTTGTTGTTTATTGCTCTGGAGGTTGTGTTTGTTGTCACTCTCCCTTGCCCACACTGCAAGGGACCGGCTTCTTCAGCCATTTGAAGATCCACAAACAGGACTCGCCAGAAGGACAATCCACAAACTATCACTGCCTACCTTATTACAGACCAATTAAGACCTTCGTGGTCACCCCGTGCCCTTATAAATCTCAACGTTCATCGTACAAAGTGCCATCACAAAGGAGAAACACAAACAAACAGACATTTATTTTTGCCCGTATTGAAACGGCCGTATGCCGTATGGAGCTATAAACTAAATTTCCCTGCAGAAGAATACGGGGTGAACCGTATGGCTTGACAACTATGTACTCGACCCCGAGTGATCGCCGATGATGATGATGTTGTCGCGTCGTGGCGAATAGTGGCTGCACTGCTATCAGTGTTGCTTCTTGTTGTTGATGACGATGCTGTGTGCTCACCTGCGAGGGCAGGTGTTTGGGGGGCTCGATGCGGATGGACGGGTCCCACTCGCCGGGGGGCAGCACCAGCACCTGCTCCATGAACTCGTCGATCCCTAGCAGCAGCTCGTGCCGCCCCTGGGCCCTGTAGGCCACAGCGTGGAACACCTGGGGGTGGGGGGGGGGGGGGGGCAGGTGAAGCTGAGGCGTTAGAGGGACCAGTTGAGGTGTGATTCAGACAACTCTCGGACATGTGATACCTGTGTGAAGCCAGGTGATGAGGACCTGCCTGAGCACCAGCTGATGAGACACCTGTGTGAGACCTGTGTGAGCCCAGGTGATGATGACCTATCTGAGACTATGTGATGATACATCTGTGTGAGACCAGGTGATGAGACACCAGTGTGAGACCAGGTGATGAGACCCTCTCTGAGACAAGGTGAAGAGACACCTGCCTGAAACCAGATGATGAGGACCTGCCTGAGACCAGATGATAAGGACCTGCCTGAGATCGGGTGGCGGAGATGTCACCACGATGCTTGTGCCAGGCTAGGTGCACTTTGAGGCCAACGTGTGCAAGTGTGGAAGGCTTGCTGCTGGCAGGCGGTAACGGGACAGATCCTGGGTGTTGTTGGTCGCCATCGTCATTTTCGTCGTCATCATCATCGTCACATCCATCGCCGTCGTCACATCACGATGCAGAGCCGCGCGTTCCTCGCCTCTCCAACAATGTCCAGCTAGTTCATCGAGCGAAACTTGATGAGTGATGGGTCGTGCTGTGGCAGCGTCGTCGTCAACGAAGTGTACGACGCGGCAGAACGCTGCTCCTCCTTCTCCTCCTCCCACCCCTCCTCCTGTGCACGTGCGTGGTGCGTGCGAGGTGTGCAAGGTGCGGGAGTGGTGGCCCCACCTCGTCCGATAGGAGCGTGGCGATGGAGCGACCGATCTCACGGTAAGGACGACCGCCCCGCACCGGCGGGCCCAGCAGCAGGAACAAAAATCTACGCATGCGCACGCACGTGCAACGATTCGTGCGGTTGGCTGCGTATGGTGTGAAAGAAGTTCAGTGTACAATCTGTTCTCCTATAACGCGGGAGATGCGTTCATGAAGAGCACCGCGTTGTAATAAATAATATATAGTTTAGGGGTAAAGGACAATCCGCGATAATGCGTGAGATGCGTAACGCAGGTTGAACAAAGACAACGGTGCGTGGGTAGCATCTAGAAGCATCCAGCAGCATCCCGCCTTGTGTGACGATGCTACGTCGTGGCAGCCGTAGAACTACTTATACAAACTCGCGTGACGTAGTTCCGTTTGCTCGATGGCGTCATATCCAATTGTCATCAGCATTAAAAACAAATATGTTCTCTAAAACAATCACCGCTTTATATCCAATTCGTGTTGTGAAAACAACACAAGGCGCTATAGGAGAACAGACTGTACATACATGCGTACAACGCACATGGACATGAGCATGCACGTGCTTATAAAGACAAAGATCCCCCCCCTCATATAGCCTTAGCAGACTCGTGGGGCAAGTGCTGCTAGCGAGCACCTGTGAAGGCTGGCACGGCAATACGCTCGGCTGCCTTTATCTCCCTAGTGGCGACTTTTACACAACGCACTAGACACTCATTTGCGGCCAAGTCGACCTCGGCGAGGCCCAAGACCACTCCAAATAATCGTCACTGGTGTTGGTGGCCGTGAGCGGAGGTCAAACTTGGGCGCCAGGTTCGTAGCAAGGACACGGGGGACATGGGGACTCGGAGACACAGGGACATGGGGTACTTGGAGATACGGGGGCACAGGAGATGCGGGGGACACAGGGACATGGGGTACTTGGAGATACGGGGGACACAGGAGATGCGAGGGACACAGAGACATGGGGTACTTGGGGACACAGGGACACGGGGGATGTGGGGACACAGGAGATGCGGGGGATGTGGGGACACAGGAGATGCGGGGGACACAGGGACATGGGGTACATGGGGGACGCGGAGACCATTTGGCCGCAAGCGCCGGTGGGACTCGTACCGCGTGGGCAGTGGCACCTCGGTGAGGCCGGGGATAAGGGCGGCCTGGGAGAGGCGCACGAAGGCCACGAGGGGGCTTGCCAGGGCGTCCACCTCGCCCACCATCACGTTGGCCGCCTCCGCCCCCGGTGGGATCTTCCGCAGGAAGCTGAGATCCACCTGGCAGTCGGCGGAGGGAGGTGAAGGAAATAAAGGAGGTTTAATATCGCAAGCGCTTCACGTGCATCATCGGCCGCAGCCTGCTCAGGGCTGAGGTCGCCAGGCTGGGTCACCACTGCCTGGGGCATCTGGTCAGCTGCAGGCCCCAGGAAGAGCCGGGTGGCTACAACTATTCATTTTTTTTTACCAGGCTAAGGCCCCACAGAGCTATGAAGCTCTTGTTGACAAGCGACCTGGCTATCACAAATGAAAGCAGCTCAACAAAGTGTCTTTTCATCGGAAAATGTATAGTAGCAGCCAAATTCTCAAATAAACGCGTGATGTTGATTCTAAATGTGGAGGGAAAAATCGGAGGACCCGGAGAAAATCCCACGCAACCGCGGGGAGAGAGACACAAAGGTCCAAATATTCAACATGCGACAGGGTTGAGATCGAAACAACGACCTCCTGTATATCAGGTGAGGTAATTGATATCTCACCACCGCGGCCGCCCAATTGGAGGTGCGGCAATCTGTTATGTTGAACTTCTTTCGCACTGTACGTCGCCAACTGTGCTAATCAGAGGTGCGGTGTATGTACATATGTTGAATTTATTTTGCACCGTATGTAGCTAACCGTGCTAATCGGAGGAAAACAAACACAATACAAAAAGCAGTTCTTAAGAAATTCGTTTTCAACTGAGAGTTTAAAGTACATAACTCCAGTGACTTCCTAATATTTAAAGGAAGAGCGTTGAAGAGGGCCGCAGAGGCACATCTCAAAGCGTGCGATATGGTGACCATCTCTCTTTGATGGCCAGCCAAAAGCCGCTGCTACGAGGATGGACTGGAGTTCGCTTGATGATGGTTTATTACTCCATGACGAGATCAGCTCAATAATTGTGGTTCATTTGTGGCAAGTGCTTTGTGTGTGTAATGAGTGCAACCTCATAACGCATTCGTTTGGCAACCAGAAGCCAATGCAGCTCGGTTAGCGCTCTTACAGTGTCTCGGCGGCCTTCCTGAACCGATCGCATTTCAAGCGGCATGTCTGCGGAGACATTCGTAACGAGAGTACGCCCGTCGACGGCCCTACGTCCGCATCATCGCAGGGTCTCGAGAGAGGCGGTGGAGAAGGGGGTGGAGGGGGGGCTCTCGGCCCTGTGTGGTTGAGCACACCCGCGCGCGCGAGCCGCTCAACCCGCATGCGCGCACCTTGCTGAAGTCCACGTTCGAGTTCTCTCTGCTCACGCCGCTCCGCGTTTCCCCATCCACGAGGGGCGACGCCAGCAGCGCCGCGTGTCCTGCTCACGAGAACGTGCGGGAGATGAAACGCAGCCGGACGGGCACAATGCCACCGGTGACCCAGTCTCAGACCCCTTTCATTACCCGGTCTTGGACCGCGCCCGTGACCCGGTCTCTGACCCTGCCTGTGACCTGGTCTCGTAACCCGTCCTTGATCCGGTCTCTGACCCCGCCCGTAACCCGGTCTAAAAAATTGTCACGCTTGTGCCGCGAGTGTAAGAACCTATTGTGATAATTAATAAGAATTAAATTTACATTGTGGCTTTCATCGAGGATCTCAAAGTACTGCACCAGACACAGTAGCAGCAGCAGCAAATATTCAACGTAAAAACAACTCCTGGTTATGATAATGACTGTGATTTTGAAAATAATGGTAATGATGATAACAATGACGATAATAATAATGATGACGATGACAATGAAAATTATAAGAAAAATGGAGCTTATGATGATGAAGATATTGATAATCATGATAATGATGATAAGGACGATCATAATGATGATGACATTGATAATGATTATTATGGTGATGAAGATAACATTGAAGCTGATGATGATGACGACGACGGCGAGGAGCCCCGCTCGCCCCCCTCACTACGACGAGTCCCACCGCTGCGGTCGAGGAACTGGCTCTCCGAGTACTTCTTGCCGATGTCCGCGATGGAGCGCACAATGGGGATCCTGCTGCTCAGCCTCTTCTCGCTCTGGTGGCGCGGCGGCCTGAGGAGGATGCCAAGGAGCCGCTCCCGAAGCGCCTCGTCGCCCGCCACGCACCCCACCCCAACCGCCCCCTCCGCCGTTGCCGCCGCCGCCGCCGCCGGGTCGTCCAGCATCGCCCCTGTGGGGTCGCGGACACACAAATAGCGAGGCCTCGTCGCGACGCCGTTCGCGACGCCGTTCGCGAGTGATTGCGACGGTAGGGGACGGTTGTGGACGTTCGTGGCGTGGCGATTCTCGCGATGTCTAAACTACAAATAAGTAATTTGGATTTGAAGCTTTCATGACTTCAGGAATCCATACTCTTCGGTTCTTTCGGGAAAGTCACGTAGGTAGAAAAATAAAATGAAACAAACATAATATATTATTTTATATATTATTTTAAACAATAATATATTATTTTGATATATTATTTTTGTTTTATTTTATTTTTCTACCTACGTGACTTTACCTAAAGAACCGAAGAGTAGTAATAAGTAAATAAACTATATTTTATTTTGCCAGGGTGAGGTCCAACTGAGCTATGTAGCTCTTTTTGACAAGCGACCTGGCTATCACAAATGATAGCTCAACTAAGTGGCTATTGCGTGGAGATTTATAGCAGTTCAATATTCTAAATGCGTGTTGATTCTAAAATGTGTACCCGCACAAAAATCCACGCGACCACGGGGAGAGAGATACACAAACTCCAAATATACAGGCGTCAGGGTTTGGATCGAACCTACGACCCTCTGCATACCAGGCGAGGTAGTTAACATGTTGCCATCATGGTGCTACCTCGGAGCCAGCTTGAAGCCCTTTAGAAGCTCTCTAGGAGCCCACTAAGAGCCCACTTGGAGCCTGCTAGAAGTTCTCTATGAGCCTGCTAGGAGCCCACTAGGAGTCCACTAGGAGCCCACTAGGAGCCCACTAAGAGCCCGGGAGGAGCCCTCTAGGAGCCCTCTAGGAGCCCGCTGGGAGCCCGCTGGGAGCCTGCTATAAGCACTCTAGGAGCACACTAAGAGCTCACTAGGATTCTAGGAGCCCACTAGGAGCTCACTAGGAGCCTGCTAGGAGCCCGCAAGCAGCCCACTAGGATTCCGCTAGGAGCCCACAAGGTGCCCGCTAGGAGCTCGCTAGGAGCCTGCTAGGAGCCCACAAGGAGCCCGCTAGGAGCCTACCAGGAGCTCACTGGGAGCTTTCTCAGAGCGCGATGGTGGCGAGCGCTCACCGGCCAGCTCTTCCATGGTGGACGCCGTCGCGTCAAGCACGACGGTGCCGCGCTCCAGGCACCGTCGCAGCTCGAAGAGGCTGTGCAGTGACAGCGTCGCCACGAAGGGCTTGCTCCAGCGCTCGCCACCATCCTCCACGTCCTCTTCGAACTTCAGCCACCTACGTCGCCGTCATCATCCGTTAACAATCCGCTGTATGTTGAACTTCTTTCGCATGGTACATAGCCAACCGTGCAAATCGGAGGTGCGGGGGAAGGACAATAAACTAAACGCAACAAAAAGCAGTTATAAAGAATGAGTTTTCAACCGAGATGATTTAAAAGTGCACAGCTCCTACGGCTTCCTAATATCGGAAGGAAGAGCGTTCCAGACGGCCGAAGAAGCACGTCTGAACGGGCACGGTGCAGTGAGCGTCTTTGTTCGACGGCCAGCCAAAAGCCGCTGCTGCTGTGACGATGGCCGCAGTTCGCGTGATGATGCTTTACACTCCATGCTTCATTTGTGGCAAGCACTTTGTGTGCAATGAGCGCAACCTCATACAAATGCTGTATTCGTTTGCCTTCTGGAAGCCAATGCAGCACGGCGAGCGCTGAATGGACCACAGTCGGATCTCACGATGGGCCTGTCGGTTCAGAGGATGGCAATGAGCCTCTCGTCAAGACGCGGTCTGAGTGCCACGCGACATTAAACACATTGGACGAAGTTGCATGTCAGCGTCGTCAGATGAAGGCTGTATGTTACAACATCAATACGTGGATAATATGTCCATGTCATATATCCGTACCTCCACGTGAAATATAACGGTTTTTTGTATAACACAACCCATTTGCCTAACTGCCTTGTGGGAGTGCATCATTTTAGTCCCATCACAGTGTCCTGTAACACTCAGTCCCATCACAGTGTCCTGTGTCACTCAGTCCCATCACAGTGTCCTGTGTCACTCAGTCTCATCACAGTGTCCCGTGTCACTCAGTCCCATCACAGTGTCCTGTGACACTCAGTCCCATCACAGTGTCCTGTGTCACTCAGTCCCATCACAGTGTCCTGTGACACTCAGTCCCATCACAGTCCCCTGTGTCACTCAGTCCCATCACAGTGTCGTGTGTCACTCAGTCCCATCACAGTGTCCTGTGTCACTCAGTCTCATCACAGTCTCCTGTGACACCCAGTCCAATCACAGTGTCCTGTGTCACTCAGTCTCATCACTGTCCCCTGTGTCACTCAGTCCCATCACAGTGTCCTGTGTCACTGAGTCCCATCACAGTGTCCTGTGCCACTCAGTCCCATCACTGTGTCCTGTGTCACTCAGTCCCATCACAGTGTCCTGTGTCACTCAGTCCCATCACAGTGTCATGTGTCACTCAGTCCCATCACAGTGTCCTGTGTCACTCAGTCCCATCACTGTCCCCTGTGTCACTCAGTCCCATCACAGTGTCCTGTGTCACCCAGTCCCATCACAGTGTCCTGTGTCACTCAGTTCCATCACAGTGTCCTGTGCCACCCAGTCCCATCACAGTCCCCCGTGTCACTCAGTCCCATCACAGTGTCCTGTGTCACTCAGTCCCATCACAGTGTCCTGTGACACTCAGTCCCATCACAGTGTCCTGTGTCACTCAGTCCCATCACAGTGTCCTGTGTCACTCAGTCCCATCATAGTGTCCTGTGACACTCAGTCCCATCACAGTGTCCTGTGTCACTCAGTCCCATCACAGTGTCCTGTGTCACTCAGTCCCATCACAGTGTCCTGTGACACTCAGTCCCATCACAGTCCCCTGTGTCACTCAGTCCCATCACAGTCCCTTGTGTCACTCAGTCCCATCACAGTGTCCTGTGTCACTCAGTCCCATCACAGTGTCCTGTGACACTCAGTCCCATCACAGTCCCCTGTGTCACTCAGTCCCATCACAGTGTCGTGTGTCACTCAGTCCCATCACAGTGTCCTGTGTCACTCAGTCTCATCACAGTCTCCTGTGACACCCAGTCCAATCACAGTGTCCTGTGTCACTCAGTCTCATCACTGTCCCCTGTGTCACTCAGTCCCATCACAGTGTCCTGTGTCACTGAGTCCCATCACAGTGTCCTGTGCCACTCAGTCCCATCACTGTGTCCTGTGTCACTCAGTCCCATCACAGTGTCCTGTGTCACTCAGTCCCATCACAGTGTCATGTGTCACTCAGTCCCATCACAGTGTCCTGTGTCACTCAGTCCCATCACTGTCCCCTGTGTCACTCAGTCCCATCACAGTGTCCTGTGTCACCCAGTCCCATCACAGTGTCCTGTGTCACTCAGTTCCATCACAGTGTCCTGTGCCACCCAGTCCCATCACAGTCCCCCGTGTCACTCAGTCCCATCACAGTGTCCTGTGTCACTCAGTCCCATCACAGTGTCCTGTGACACTCAGTCCCATCACAGTGTCCTGTGTCACTCAGTCCCATCACAGTGTCCTGTGTCACTCAGTCCTATCATAGTGTCCTGTGACACTCAGTCCCATCACAGTGTCCTGTGTCACTCAGTCCCATCACAGTGTCCTGTGTCACTCAGTCCCATCACAGTGTCCTGTGACACTCAGTCCCATCACAGTCCCCTGTGTCACTCAGTCCCATCACAGTCCCTTGTGTCACTCAGTCCCATCACAGTGTCCTGTGTCACTCAGTCCCATCACAGTCCCCTGTGTCACTCAGTCCCATCACAGTGTCCTGTGCCACTCAGTCCCATCACAGTGTCCTGTGTCTCTCAGTCCCATCACAGTGTCCTGTGTCTCTCAGTCCCATCACAGTCCCCTGTGTCACTCAGTCCCATCACAGTGTCCTGTGCCACTCAGTCCCATCACAGTCCCCTGTGTCACTCAGTCCCATCACAGTGTCCTGTGTCACTCAGTCCCATCACAGTGTCCTGTGTCACTCAGTCCCATCATAGTTTCCTGTGACACTCAGTCCCATCACAGTCCCCTGTGTCACTCAGTCCCATCACAGTGTCCTGTGTCACTGAGTCCCATCACAGTGTCCTTTGTCACTCAATCCCATCACAGTGTCCTGTGTCACTCAGTCCCATCACAGTGTCCTGTGCCACCCAGTCCCATCACAGTGTCCTGTGTCACTCAGTCCCATCACAGTGTCCTGTGTCACTCAGTCCCATCACGGTGTCCTGTGCCACTCAGTCCCATCACAGTGTCCTGTGTCACCCAGTCCCATCACAGTGTCCTGTGACACTCAGTCCCATCACTGTCCCCTGTGTCACTCAGTGCCATCACAGTGTCCTGTGTCACTCAGTCCCATCACAGTGTCCTGTGTCACTCAGTCCCATCACGGTGTCCTGTGTCACTCAGTCCCATCACAGTGTCCTGTGTCACTCAGTCCCATCACAGTCCTGTGTCACTCAGTCCCATCACAATGTCCTGTGACACTCAGTCCCATCACAGTGTCCTGTGTCACTCAGTCCAATCACAGTCCCCTGTGTCACTCAGTCCCATCACAGTGTCCTGTGCCACCCAGTCCCATCACAGTGTCTTGTGTCACTCAGTCCCATCACGGTGTCCTGTGTCACTCAGTCCCATCACAGTCCCCTGTGTCACTCAGTCCTATCACAGTGTCCTGTGTCACCCAGTCCCATCACAGTGTCCTGTGTCACTCAGTCCCATCACGGTGTCCTGTGTCACTCAGTCCCATCACAGTCCCCTGTGTCACCCAGTTCCATCACAGTCCCCTGTGTCACTCAGTCCCATCACAGTCCCCTGTGTCACTCAGTCCCATCACAGTCTCTTGCATCACACATCCACGATCCATGCCATGTTTCACCAGTTCGAAGGGAAGCTGTTCAACCCTCGCCTAAAACCGACGAGTCCCCCACCTGGCGGTCTCCTGCCACTCGCCCTCGTGCCCGTCCTTAAAGCTCAGCTCCAGCATCTCGATGAAGAGATCGTGATGCTGCTCCTCCTCCTTCTGCTCCTCCTCCTCCTCATCCTCCATGCCCAGGATGAAGTGCACCCTCTGCGACGGCGCATCTTCACGAACCCATGGTCAGAAGGAAGAACGCAACCCCACACACGACGGCAGACAGGGCTGCAGTGGCTGGGAGATGTTAACTACCTCGCCTGGTATGCAGCAGGTCATTCGTGGGTTCGGTCCCGACCCTGCCGAGTGCAGGAGTTTGCGAGCCTCTCTCCCCGTGGTTGCGTGGATTTTTCTCTGGCTCTTCCAGTTGTTTCCCCCCACATTTAGAATCAACATGCATACTGTAGTTGTACTGCCTTGTGTTACATTTAGAGTGATTTGCTTTCCTTTCGTTTTTTTTGGATTGTTTACGGTTGTAACTTTCTGGCCCGGTGCCCCTACAAAGAGCTTCACAGCTCATCGGATTCCTCCCGGAAAAAAGTTCCAATTCTGATTCGCTCACTCACATACTCACCCTGCGCGTCCCGCTTCTCCCGCTGTGACGACGAGCAGGTGGACGACGACGACGACGAGGGGGCGGAGGAGGAGGATGGCGCGGAGGAGGAGGGGGGCCAGGGCTTCCTCACCCACGGCCGTGTTGCTCCGTGGCCCGCGGCAGTCGGATGTCCTCCCTGCGCGCCACACAACGCGACGTGGATGCCTTGGCAAAAGAAAAATGCAATCGGAGTGTCCCGGGACCAATTTACGATTACATATATATATATTTTTATTTGTACCAGGTAAGAAAGGCTCACTGAGATATTGGCTCTTTTTCAGAAGCGACCCGGCCACAAATGAATGTTGAACTTCTTACGCACCATACGTCGCACACTCGGAGGTGCCCGGGGAAGGACAACAAACTGACCAGACAAAAAGCCAGTTCTAAAGGAATTCGTTTTCAATCTAGATTTAAAAGTTGGTAGCTCAACAAAGTGGCTTATCACGTGGACATAATCTAAACGCGTGATGTCGAGTTTAAATGTGGAGGGGAAAACCCGGAGGACCCGAAGAACAATCTACGCGACCACGGGGAGAACATGCAAACTCCAAATATACAGCAGGAGTCCTACATACCATGCGATGGAGGTAACATAACACACATTGTTTGCCGCATTTCACACAGGTTTCAGGACACTTATATAACAATAAACATTTATTTATAGCCACAAATTATTCAGTCGTCATGCGTGGGCGCTATCACGTGTCAGCGAATGTTCCGATTTCTTTACGGCCCGTTCAAGCGTTTGGTAAAAGCAGAGCTGCCTGAGAAGACTGTAATTTAATTTCGATGACAACTGCTTTCTCTCAAGTGAATGGCCCTTCTGGTTACGTGGCATGGCCCAGGCAACAAACCGTTGGAGTTATCGATGCTGTGTCTTTAAAAAAAACAGGTGATCAATTTTAGGCAGCTGGGCATATCACGAGGCTACAAGGCACACGTGATCACTGAGACTCTCAGTTCAAATCCAGGTTTCAGACACCCAAGAGTGGTGGTGGCGGTGGTGGTGACCACGCTGCTGCATCACGTGACTGCTGCCTGTAGTCCTGGGATGTGTGGAGGCAGCAGCGAGGGGGTTGGTGGATCACCGCACACACACACACACGTTGCGAGACTCCCTTCACCGTGGGCGTCGAGGAGGAGCCGTATCCTGGCCGTGCCGGGAGACGGCGGTAAAGCAGCAATGTGGACTCGGCATGTTCCGTCTGTATGGGATAGAGGATTTCCCCCTCGCACGTGCACGTGGGGTTTCTCCAGGGGCTCAGGTTTACAGTGGGCGCCACGGTAGCTATGAGATGTTAACTCCCTCGCCTGGTATGCAGGAGCTCGCGGGTTCGATCCCGAACCAGATGCCTGCTGTATATTTGGAGTTTGCATGTCCCTCTCTCCCCGTGGTCACGTGGATTTTTGTCCGGGTCCGCCGGTTTTTTCCCTCCACATTTGGAATCAACATCACGCGTTTAAAGTATTGGCTGCTATACATTTCCACGTGACATGCCACTTCGTGGCCAGGTCGCTTCCGAAAAAGGCCCACTACATAGCTCAGTGGGCCTTTCCTGGTAACGTTTTCAATAGGTTAGGAATAAGTTCGGTGACTCCCACGTGTAAACGCTCATTTAATTGGTCCATAACAATTTAATATACAGAGGACCACAGAGCTTGGATAATTGTCGGTACCGGCTCCGAGTGTGGCTGCCTCTCTGCTTGCGTGCGGTTCATCCTCACACCTCCGAGTCTTCCTCTCTCTCTCTGTTGTCAACTTTCGAATATTGCAAGTTGAAGTTATCGTAGACGGTATTCTATCGAGCAGCTTCTCAATCAGCAGTGGGGGGAGCTGGTGGTCTCAGACCAGTTGCCGATTGCCTGCACAAACGTCGGATTAGATTTGCCTCTGACTTGGTTTGGCTGCTCCCAGCTGCAGGGTTGTGCAAACTAATAAGGGCCATTTATGTAATTACGGGGGAGAAAAAAACTCTTTCGTAACAACGATATTAAATCTGATTGAGAATTCTGTTAAGAGGAGACTATTATGATCATGCTAACACAGCCTCGACGAGTCTCGAGACCCTTCAATCATGAGTGTCCCTACCAAGTTTTTTTTTTATAGTTGGGGGCGATGTTGCAGCTTCTTTGTGTAATCCCAATCGAGTAATTTGCACAAATATTATTTTCAGCACTGGGACGTTTCGACCAATGCTAGCTCCGGCACGTGTTTGTTTCAGCGATGTTGGGGGGGGGGGGAGGGACAAAGCAACAAAAAACCCGGAGGAAACCCATGCATGATGAGAGGGGGAGGGGAGGGAAATACAGACTCCAGACAGAAACCTAGCCCCATTCGAGAATCCAACCCAGGCCCCGTTCTTGTCGTGAAGGAGCCCCGTCTACCGCTCTGCCACTCGGCGTGTCGCTGTGCCCGATTGTAACGCGATGTTCAAGCACTCCGTCTCCATCACCCAGCGCAAGAATCGTCGCGGCCATTCACCCTTTCCCGTTCCGATGACGTAAGCGTACGCGGGTGTACGTTGTCAGAACGGAAGAAAAACCCTCAAATTAAGTAGCTTTATCGGTACCGAGGCTCCCACAAGGCCATGCGGGAGGGCGTGTGACGCAGTTTGGCGCAAGCTATCGTCGAGTGGCAGTGGTCGTGTCGCTACGGTTCTCTGCGGCGAGTAACGTCTTTACAAAACAGCGGCGCTGCTACTCTCCCACCCCCCTCCCCCCTAAATAAAATCAATCAACGCCGAACCGGTTTGCGCGTTCCGAGATTCGGTGGTGAACGGGACACACGCACACGCCGCTGCAACTCGCAGTGCGTCTCGTGTCAGGAAAGGGGTTAAGATCCCACGGGTATAAGCCACGACTCGCCCAACCCGCATGCCCTTCCACGACGCCATCCAACTTCAACTTCGTCCCCACAATGTTCCTGGGCATAACATGCGATGCGTTTGTCACCGAGTGCCATTTCATTCGAGGCTCTCACAATTGCCACCTCTGTTACGCCTGCCAGGGGGAGGGGGGCACAACTCCCGTGATATTCTGCCCCAGCAGCCTGATGCTCGGGCCCCCTGTCCATCACGCACTCGGTGTAATAAGGCAACGGCGAGCCGCCTGCTGCTGCTGCTACGTCCTTTAGCTGATCTTCAAACATCAACACGAGCCATCGGAACATCCATTAGCGGGAACTTAATGAATGCAGTCATGTGTTCAGCAGCAATTGTTTCTCTCTCTCTCTAATGTTAATTAAATATCGTTTCTGAGAAAAATCCCAAGATCCTGAATCATGCGCATTCAATTAGTTTTATTATGGGGCAGTTTTTGTTGTTGTTGTTGATAGGGTCACCGTATTTAATGATTGGCTGACGACACGTGGTTGATTGTGATGACCGGGATAAATATCGGCGACGTGACAGCGATGTGCGTGCAACACTCATGACACGCAAAGTGCTCGCCACGAATGAACCACGGTGCCTTGGACCATAAACCACCATCACGCAAACTCCGCTCATCCTCGCAGCGAATTTTGGCTGACCGTCGAACAAAAATGGTCAACGTGTCGCGCGCGTTCAGATGCTCTTCTGCTGCTGTCTGGAACGCTCTTCCATCTGTTATTATGAGGCCACCTGAGCGATGCAATTCTAAATCAATCCACATTGAAAACGAATTTCTTTAGAACTGCTTGTTGATGTATTTTTTAGATTTCAAGCTTTCGTGACTGCAGGGATTCATATTCTTGGTTCTTTCGGTTAAGTCACGTAGAAGGGAAATAATAAAAATAAAACGTAATAAAATAAAATTCTCACGACGTTTCGGCCACAACGCAAGCAGCCGTCCTCAGGGTGAAAAAACAGAGCTGTCGGAAAGACAGCGTCCTACAGCTCTGTTTCTTCACCTGAGGACGGCTGTTTGCGTTGTGGCCGAAACGTCGTGAGAATTTTCTTATGTTTTATTTTTATTATTTTATTATTTCCCTTCTACGTGACTTTACCGAAAGAACCAAGAATATGCTTGTTGTTGTTGTGTTTCGTTTGTTGTCCATCTCCCGCACCTACGGGTAGCGTGGTTGGTCACGTATGGTGCGAAGGCAGTTGCAGCCTTAACAGACTGTTGGGGCAGCAGAGACGGAGAGCGAGAGAGAGACGCAACCGCGCTGACTGCTGAGGAGTGCACGCGGGCTGTGAGCGGCCACGACACAGGGAGATGATGATGATGATGGGCCGACGGTCAGAGAAGGAGGCAGCACACGCCACCAGGGGAGAGGGTCCACTGAGGGAGATGGAGCGGTGTGATCGGCTGTCTCGCGTACGAGCGAGGCGAATTGTGGTGTTGCCAACCCGTCTGGAACGCTCTGCCGATATGGGGAAGCCACTGGAGCTCCGCGCTTTGAAACCATCGCCTACATTGAAAACGAATTTCTTTAGAACTCGCTTTTTGTGTCTAGTTTTCTTTTTGTCCTTGCCCCGCACCTCCGATGAGCACGGTTGGCTACGTACGGTGCGAAAGAAGGTCAACATAAATATACACACACTGGCGACCTTCATTCAGCAGTGTATAGGCCATGGCTGTTTGATTATGGTGGTGATGATGATAGGGATGGGATCACCGTTAAGTGTAGAATTATAGCCATTGTTTGCCGAACAGATCAATGACGAGCAATGTGTAGCACACAAATGAAAAAGATCCCCCGTACAGCCTTCACAGACTGCTGGGGCAAGTGCGCCTATGAAGGCCGGCACGGTACGCGAGGTGGGTGCCCAGCACCACGTCCGGCCGCCTTTGTCTCCTCAGTGCTGATGTTTACACCTCGCACCAGATACTAATTTGCGGCTGAGGCAACCTAGGGGAGGCCTAAGACCGGTTCAGATAATCGCAACTGGTGTAGGCCGTGAGCTGGAATCGAACTCTGGTAACTTGGTTCGTAGCGCAGCGCACTAACAGCTACACTGCCGCTCCCCAACGTACACACTTACGCGTAGTGTTTGGTCGTAACTTCATGCCCGTTACTTCCACGTGGGCAGGTAGGGGTGAATCGCTAACCATTACAGTTATTGCGATCATCGTCATCATCGTCGCACAGAGGTCAATCGAAATCAATCAGTTCCTGTGATTAAATAGCATTTATGGGTAAATATATCTCTGTGTTGTCGTGTCCTCGAAAAGACATTCATCTAAAGCAGCTCAAGCCTCCCGTGACGTCTGTGTCGCCACACCCACTCTGAGCCCCTCCCCTTCCCCCGCCCATTGTGAAAACAGACGCCGCTCCTCCATGCAGCAGAAGCAGCAGCGCTGAGGCCTTGACGCAGCCTCTTCCTCCTGATCCTCATATTTTTTTCCATTTAATGTTTTTTATCATTCATTCCACAGTGGAGATGTTAACTACCTCGCCTGGTATATAGCACGTCGTGGGTTTCGTTCCCGATCTTGACCCCTGTATATTTGGAGTTTGCATGTTCTCCCTGCGGTCATGTTGATTTTTTGTTCCGGTTCCTCTGGGGTTTCCCTCCACATTAGAGACGCGTGTTTAGAGTATTTGGCTACTGTTATACATTTCCATGTGATGATGAGCCACTTCGTTGAGTTATCAATTGCGGTGGCCAGGTCGCTTCTGAAAGAGAGCGACATAGCTCAGTGGCCCTTATCTGGTAAAATAGAAAGTGTTTCTTTTTAGATTCTACTCCGCTGACCGTGGATGCGAGCAATCGTCACGTAGGGTTTATAAACCGTGGCCGTCTTTCATGCAAATTGCACCGCTTGCAGTCGTTGAGGAAGCACAGACAACCCTTGTATCCAGCACTCCGGCGGTCAGCCGGCGCCACCAACAGTTTCCCGAGCTCCGCAGTCCTCTACATGTTTAGATGTTTTCAGACAATGAACGAGTGTTTGCGTACGCGCGCGTGTGAGAATATCGGAGCACTTGGAGAAACCCCCCCCCCCCCCCCATGCGTGTGAGGGGGAAACACTCGATCCCAAACAGAAGGAACAGGTGACACGACGTCGCCCGCACTTTGCTGCATCGCCTTCTCGTGGCGAGCCAGGGTACAGCACCTCCTCTGTCGCCTCGACTCCCACGGTGAAGTCAGTCTCGCAACATCTGTGTGTGCGGTGATCCACCAACCCCCTCGCTGCTGCCTCCACAGCTCTGGACTACGGACTACAAGCAGCAGTCACGTGATGCAGCAGCGTGGTCACCACCACCACCACCATCCGGCTAATCTTGGGTGTCTGAAACCTGGATTTGAACTGAGAGTCTCAGTGATCACGTGTGCCTTGTAGCCTCGTCATATGCCCAGCCGCGGTGATCGACCAACCCCCTCGCTGCTGCCTTCACAGCTCTGGACTACAGGCAGCAGTCGCGTGCGGTGTAGCCACCAGCACCACCACCACCACTCGGGTAAGCTGTGTGAGTTACAGTGAACGTGGTACCCCAATCACGAACACCTGCACGGTCTAGCGGACCCGTCACGGCCATTTTCTCAGCGCGAGAAGAGCACACCATCATGTATATGCAGCAGACGCGCAACAATAACTAAATTATAAATATATGGACGTATTGGGGGTACACTGGGGCAGCATAACGCACCGGTCCTCATAAAACAGTCGACAAATGCAAATTTGAGTCAGAAATTCTGTTTTTTATCGGTTTTTAATTGACCCTGTCGCCACGTTTGACGCGATTCGAAGGTCGATTCGGTCTACTGAGACTCGCTAAAAAAAAGGATGAACATTGAGCGTCGAGTTGGGTCCCCCTGAATCGAGGATGGGACCGTCCCGACCAAGTCGCGGTAAAGGCACGAGCACAAATCTCGCCGCCTTTGGAACACGAAGCCAGACAATCGTCGTCAGGGCTGGCTGCTGCTGCTGCTACACGGCAGCATACTGCATGGCCCACCGTGAAGATTCTTCTGGTCTCAGCCAGACACGCTCATGTAAACCCTTCTGTCTTACGACCGCTTCCATATCACGAGAACCGATTTTGACGCAAACCACCACCACCATCACCCTGCACGAATTTTTCACCGGGGTTACCGAATCGCGGGGGGGGGAGGGAATGAAATAAATAATGATTGCATTTTTAAAAAAAATTCTAATACACACTATGCAGTGGATATGTCTGTATATACAAATATACGCATGCATCCATGCAATACTATTAATAGTGTAAACACACCCATGTGACTATATATCTACCAGCGCTGTACACAGAATCCCCTCGGTGTGATGATCTATATATATACAGGCTGTTGGCGCAAGTGCTGTTAGCGAGCACCTATTAAGGGGCCGTCCATAAATGACATCACGCGATTTTGGACGATTTTTGACCCCCCCCCCCCCCAAATACAACATGCTTCAAATCGCTTTAAACTATTGTCATTGTAGTGCGTATTTAATGTGGCGCTGCACTCTGATGTTGTAGGAGAAAACATGTATTAAAAAGTCAATTTAATTAAGTAGAACGTGTTGTCTATATTTATTTAAAGTTGCGCATTTTGATGTGACGTCGCCCTCACGCGGAGGCTCAGAACAGGTTTAATAATATCATATTCTTTGGGTCTTTCGGTAAAAGTCGCCGTTAGATAGGTTCAAATTAATAAAAAAATAAAGTAAACAAAAAACAACGACGTTTCAATCGCGACACAAGCGATCGTCATCGATCTACGTGACTTTACGGAAAGACCCAAAGAATATGAATTCCTGCAGTCACGAAAGCTTCAAGTCAAGGTTGAATATTCCGCTTGTCACCGGCGCTCCGCCGTGGTTGGCTCTCGAACTCGGAACCACCCGGTGTGTGGTGCCACTTGAGCAAACCGGAGCACCTCGACCCCCCCCCCCTCCCCCCACTTACCTTTGACGAGAAGAAAAAACCACCACCTTTGTGACAAGGACAAAGATCACCCGTCTTAGCCTTTTAACAGACTGTTGGGGCAAGTGCTGTGAGCGAGCCGCACCTATGAAGGCCGGCACGGCGCATTTAGGGCTGGGTGGACAACGCCACGCCCGGCCGCATTTGCCTCCCCAATGCTGATGTTCAGCACGCCGCACCAGATATACTGTGCTCACTTAAGGCTGAGTCGACCGAGGACCGGTTCAGATATTCGACACTGACGCTGTTGGCCGTGAGCGGGAATCGAACTCTGGGGTCGCCGGGGTTCGTAGCTTCGACCGGTAAGTAGCCCACCGCTCCCCAACCCACCCGTGTAACGCGCGGCACGGCACGCACGGCACGGTACGGCACGGCTCGCACGGCACGGAACACACGGCACGGTAGGGCACAGCACGCTCGGCACAGTACACACTGCACGGTACGGCACGGCACGCACGGCACGGTACACACGGCAGGGTACGGTACGCATGGCACGGTACACACGGCACGCTCGGCACGCACGGCACGCACGGCACGGTACACACGGCACGGTACGGCACGGTACGCACGGCACACACGACACGCACGGCACGGTACGCACGGCACGGTACGCACGGCACACACGGCACGGTACGCACGGCACGGTACGCACGGCACGGCACGTACACCGGGCCACGTGCGCGATAACCAGTGAATATACACTTCCCAAAGACAAAACACCCCCGTATAGCCTGTTCCAGACTGTTTGGGCAAGTGCTGTTGGCGAGTAGCGCCCTATGAAGGTCGTCACGGCACACGAGGCGGTGAGTGGTCAGCACCACGCCCGGCCGCCTTTGTCTCCCCCGCGTAACGCACGCCACGGGCACGCACGCTGGGAGGTTGGAGGGCACGGTGCGTGTGCAGGCGCACGCTCACGGTCTCCGGATCCGCGTTGGCAGGCGCCAGCTCCATGACCCCCACCACCACCACCGCCACAGCGCGCGCGGCAAAGGCGGAGAGCGCCCTGGGGCATCCGCCGCTCGCTGCTTCTAGCACTCCGCCAGCCCTCGCGGTCTCCTTTCTCCAGCCCCAGCGAGAGGCAGGCGACAGAGGCGACCTTCCACTTCACTCACTCCACCCGACCGACCGACTCACTCCTCCCCGACATGCAGTCAGTGTACAGAGACCACTCCCCTGTCATACACGCGCGGGCACATACACACACACGCACACACGGGCGCACGCACACACACGCGCGCACACACACACGCGCGCGCATATACACACACGCGCGCACGCACACACGCGCGCACACACACGCGCGCACACACGCGCGCGCACACACACGCGCGCACACACACGCGCGCACACCTATGGCACATGTGTAAGTGGCAACGGGCTCACTCACCGAATCCCACGAAAAGCTCGTGGGACACCGCGCTCCATGCAGGCGACACAAACACCCCCCCATCCCCCTATATCGTTCACCGGTTGTTTGTCGGTGGTTCCGCTACGAACCTGGCGACCCGAGTTCGATTTTCCGCTCACGACCAATAACAGCGGCGACAAGTTGAGCCGCTCCTCGGTCTCCCCCCCATAAGGTCTACTCAGCCTTAAAATAAGTACCTGCTGCAGTGGGTTAAACATCAGCATTTGGGGAGACAAAGGCGGTCGGGCGTAGTATAGTGCGCTTTTACGGCCTTCATAGATGGTCGCGAACAGCACTTGCCTCAACAGTCTGTTACATGGCATCGGGGGATCTTTGTCTTTGTATCACAGAGACACACGCGTGTCACATTAACAGGTACACACACGCGTGTCACATGCACTGACACACACACACGCGTGTCACATTCACACACACGAGTGTCACATTCACAGACACACACACGCGTGTCACATTCACAGACACACACACACGGAGTGTCACATTCACAGACACACACACACGCGTGTCACATTCACAGACACACGCGTGTCACATTCACAGACACACACACACGGAGTGTCACATTCACACACACACACACACACGCGTGTCACATTCACAGACACACACACACACACGCGTGTCACATTCACAGACACACACACACGTGTCACATTCACTGACACACACACGTGTTTATATCACTCGCAAACACAGCCGCGTGAATGTCACAGACACACACACGCATGTCACATTCACAGACACACACACACGCGTGTCACATTCACAGACACACACACACGCGTGTCACATTCACAGACACACACACATGCGTGTCACATTCACAGACACACACACACGCGTGTCACATTCACAGACACACACACACACGCGTCACATTCACAGACACACACACACGCCTATCACATTCACAGACACACACACACGCGTGTCACATTCACAGACACACACACACGCCTGTCACATTCACAGACACACACACACACACGCGTGTCACATTGACAGACACACAAACGTGTCACATTCACAGACACACACAGACACACACACACGTGTGTCACATTCACAGACGCGTCCGTATAGCTGGCACAGCACACGAGATGGGGTCGGTGGCTAGCATCACGCCCGGCCGCCTTTGTCTCCCTAGTGGCGATGTTTACACACTGCACCAGGTACTGATTTGGTGCTTAGTCGACCTAGGGGAGGCCCAGAACTGGTTGAGATATTCGTTGCTAAGATAGACACACGCAATGCCCTCCACCACTGCCGTCACCACTGCCACCACCACCACCACAGCCACCACCACAGCCAGCACCACCGCCACCACCACCATCACTGCCACCACCACCACCACCACCGCTGCCGCCGCCACCACCACCAACAACCGCCATTTGCCACTAAGTGGCGGTGACGTCACCACGACGCTTGTGCCAGGCTATGTGCACCTTGAGGCCACGTGAAGTGTCGAACGCCCGCTGGCAGGAGGTCACGGGGCAGACCCAGGTGCCACGGGTCGACTGACTGAGACGACTGGCTGATGCACCACCACCGCTAACACCATCATCACCGCTGCCACTGCCACCACCACCGCCACCACCACCATCACCGCTACCACCGCTCTGGTTTCCGTTTTCCCCTTGACGCCCCCTATGGAACCCCTCATTACAATCCGCACAACTGAAATCTGTTCCCTCTGGATATCTTGACAGACCATCACTGGGCTGTCTTCATCCTAAAGGTTCTCTTAAACAAATTCTCCAATCGCCTATAAGACCGCTCAGTTCCTCTAACTTACTCTCATATCCTCAGCAGTGCCTCCGTATTCCAAATGTAACATTCAATTTGCAAAAAACTTCGATTAAAAATAAAAATTTTCGCGTTGCTGCTCCACGTTTTTGGAATCCCCTTGGCCGCTTCATCTACAGCTGCCCCCCCTCAGTCCCCCTCTTTACGTCCTAATGAGACCAAAACACACACGGAGAGCTTTCTTGCGCCTGTTACTGTTTGCACCGTCTTACTCGATCCGCGTGTGTTTATGTTACTCTTACCGGCAACTATTCCTCTCGTGTTGTATTAAACTGCTTTTTTTATTTGCGTGCGTTTCGTTTACTACCGTCAAAGACCTCGTTTGTGAGTTGTGATATATCTCTTAATAAGCCAGCACTCGTTCTCTGCAGTGTTGATGTATTTGTTGCTGCTGCTGCTGCTGTGCTCAGGCACCACGGATCTCCCGTGTAAAATAGCCGGACAACGAAATCAACTCAAGCTCACCACCGCCACCACTACCGCCACCACTACCACCACCACTACCACCACCATGGACACCACCGCCACCTCTACCAGCGCTAACACCGCTATCACTGCCACCACCACCACCACCATGGCCACCACCGCCGCCACCACCACGGCCACCACCGCCACCATGGCCACCACCGCCACCACTACCGCTCCACGTAATGGAAAATGGATCTGATTACGCGCGTGGGACCAGGAGGCGCTCTCCTCCTGCTGCTGCTCCTCCTCCTGCTCCCCCTGCTGCTCCCCGCCTCTCGTGGCGTTAAAACGCCGCGCTCCCACTGTACCGGATTAATACATCGATGACAACACTCATCACACCCGTCAATGACGACGTGGCCTGAAACAAAAAAAAACCCATATGCATCATAAACGACGTTCCGGGCAATGTCCCTTCTCGTGCTATGAAGGACTGTTGAAAATGCTGTGTTGGTGGCTTTGGTATCCGTGCGTGTGCACCACCGGTGTGTTTCTTAAACATGCCTCGTTGTTTTTAGTTGAATTTTGTTGAGCCGGGGTAAGGACTCAAGAGACCAGGGTGAGTCTCGTTCCCTGGAGTCACCTGGGCCATTTAACTGCTGCCAGTAGGGAGGTGATCATTGCTGCTGCTTATGCTGCCGCTGTGTGTGTGATGACAATTTAGTGATTTGCAGCGATACAGTATTCAATTTGGCAAATTTGGAACTGGCAACAATTAGGCTATTTGTTGGCGTAAAAATAGCCTCACTTTTGCTGATGATGTCAGGGGATCTTTAACGTCCGCTATGAAGTAGATGGCGCATAGTATTGTTATAATTGTTGTTATGGTATTACACAGCCGCAACAATAATAATAATCAGGTCGGCCACTGGCTTCGAACCGTGACACCTTCGCAACAAGCGACGAACGCGATATCACCCCATCTGCTTCACTGAAATGACCGTGTGCCGCTATCATCAGGTAGTGTCACTTACTCATTTACAAAACACCTCTTTCACGGAGAGGTGGGGGGGGGAAGAGTGCAGGAAAAGGGTGGGGGGTTATAATGTATGTAGAACTTCTTTCGCACCGCACGTAGCCAACCATGCTAATCGGAGGTGCTGGGGATGGACAAAACGCAAAACACAATAAATAGTTCTACAGAAATTAGATTTCAGTCTGGGTGATTTACAAAGTGCATAGCTCCAGCGGCTTCTTAATACCGGAAGGAAGAGCGTTTCAGACGGCCGCGGAAGCGCATCTGAAAGCGCACGATGCAGTGACCACCATCTTTGTTCGATGGTTAGCCAAAAACCACTGCTGCGAAGATGACCGGAGATCACGTGACGGTTTATCCTCCTTGACGAGATAAGCGAGGTGTTGTGGTTCAGTTGTGGGAAGCATTTTATGTGTAATGAGCGCAAACTTATACCATTGAATTTCTTCGGTAACCGGTAGCAAATGCAGCTCGGCGAGCACTGGACTGACACGGTCGGATCTTGCAGTACCCGTCACGACACGTGGCAGCTTGGTAATGTTTTTAGCCAGACGTCCCATGTGTTATAGATGTCCAGAGCTTCAGAGGAGCTGCCCCTCTCTGTGTGTGGGGTTCATATGTGGTGTGGCTGTGGTCAATGACAGACTGGGACAAAAAATCGGCCCGGGAATGTGTAACACACCGTGCCCAAATTCGGGCTATGGTCGATTGTTTTGTTTCATGGGTTATTATTGCGATCATGAACCGTTTAGGAGTAGTAGTACTAGTAGCTAGATGATAAACTGTGTAGTAGGACTAGTAGCTAGATGATAAACTGTGTAGTAGTAGTACTAGTAGCTAGATGATAAACTGTGTAGTAGTACTAGTAGCTAGATGATAAACTGTGTAGTAGCACTAGTAGCTAGATGATAAACTGTGTGGTAGTAGTACTAGTATCTAGATGATAAACTGTGTAGTAGTAGTACTAGTAACAAGATTATAAACAGTATAGTAGTAGTACTAGTAGCTAGATGATAAACTGTGTAGTAGTACTAGTAGCTAGATGATAAACTGTGTAGTAGTAGTACTAGTAGCTAGATGATAAACTGTGTAGTAGTACTAGTATCTAGATGATAAACTGTGTAGTAGTACTAGTAGCTAGATGACAAACTGTGTAGTAGTACTAGTAGCTAGATGATAAACTATGTAGTAGTAGCTAGATGATAAATAGTATAGTAGTAGTACTAGTAGCTAGTTGATAAACTCTGTAGTAGTAGTACTAGTAGCTAGATG